GGGGGGGGGGGGGGGGGGGGGGGGGGGCGTCGAAATCCTAAACACCCAGGCGTCGATTTACTAGCCGCCAGTTTCCTGAACCCTAGTAACCCCACTTTATTGGAATGTTGCTCATCGCAACAAAATCCAACATATTTTCTCACTCCCTCTCATTGTTACGACCAACACGCGTTCTGGTGGGGACCACCTCTCTCGGAATAACGACCGAATCATCAGAAGCACTATAGGGATTTGGGAAATGCAGTTTGAACTTGGAAAAACAACGGCAATGATGATGAACCACAAGAGGCTGTGAGTAGTCTCGTAGATATGGAATAAGTCATCAGCTTACGTACGACCCAACCTAACTCTTCACTATTCCACATAGACCTCTTCATAGCCACAGTTTTTATGGAGAACCAACCTTGCCAACATCCAACTATGGCAACTGTTTGTTGGTCATGTGACGTTATATTTCGCGGTACCCCTTTAAGCGAGGCAAGGTAAGTACAGCGCGGCGATTTCAAGACAAAGAACTTACCGAAAAGCCGCTCGAAACGAAACAGCCTCCATATGACTAGATCCTTGGTAGTCCGAAGAAGCGAATAGCGATACGAAAAGAAAAGAACCATTCATACTATTCTAGTTTTCCTCTCAATCTCAATTCGCAATATCCCCAATTTCGAGATGCTCAGCACTTCCATTCTGCTCATTCAGTCTGGTGAATATCACCAATCCTCACTTTGGGCTTCTGCCTCGAGCTGCGTTCCTCGAAGAAGATTTGCTTAGATAAGGGCGGAGAGGTTCTGAGCTGGGTTTTCTCTGATCGAGGAAGGTTCCAAAGGGGCGTGGGGAAGGGGAATATGATTGTATCATACGGTATGGTGAATGCTAGCAAATACTGTACTTCATTACTGTGAAGAAATCTAGGCGTTTTACTAGGGGTTTTAATGTCCAATTTCCTTGGAATGGAATTTGTGGCCGTGAGATGGTATTCTGGAAATGAGGGAATTAAGAATACCTACACATTGGAAGAATCTGCAAAAGTACTGTGTGAATGTCAAATTCATTTTTAGGAGGAAAGCTATTAACCTCCAAGCAATGTCTCGGTATCGCTTGCTGGGAAAGACTCGAATGAGGAAAGGAATATGGATGGTGGGAGTAATGAAAGAATGTACAGTAGAATAACCCGGCTAGGTACGAGTAGAAGTACTAACTCCTCATAAACAGCAGATCTCATGACAGTCTTGCGGAATCACTTTGAGACTCTTCACTAACTGTTCAATGCAACCTCAAGATACTAAACATGTTACTAAAGATGTACTGTCGTAACCTCAAGGCGGATGATATGTCTATATAAGAGAGGGAACCATCACCCTGAGAATGGCTCCTTGAGCAATACAACAACAGTTCCACTCACTGTACTGTTCAACGAATTTAAGCGACAGAGTTGTCAATATAATATTAGACATCCTTCTTGTACATTACTGTACACTATATGTGTCCTCGACTCACCTTGGATATCCATAGACAAGAGGAGAAAACTATTAAAGCGTTGCCTTTGTAAGGGATAGTATCGTTAAACCACACACCTTTCAAACGAAATACCCCTCTGTCTTACAAGCGCACAGGCATCACTCCACAGTATATAAATCCATTCATCAATTCCCCAAAACCCTTTCAGTTGGAACCAGTACATCTGAATAACATCCAATCCAAACAATTACCTCAGAGGTAAAAAGGTTAAATTACATAAAGCATGGTTTCAATTTGTATTTATCTGATCACCTCGCTAAATATCACTAATTTTACTTCGAGGAATATAATAAAAAAACAGTCAAGATTAATGGTAAATACCTTTGAGGTATATATTTCTATGATACACAAGATCTCTTGAATATTTCATTGTTACTTAAGATATATTAAATTGTGCTCCTTAATAGAGGAATGCTATGATTAATGACTGGAGTCTTCTGCAAATGGCTATCTTTGAATGAGTCTGGCATGGAAGTTAGTGAAAAGAACAAAAATAATTGAAGACAAAAGCATTGTGAGGATGGTTCGGGTTGGGATGAAGCTTAATTGGAGACGATAGATTAATCTTGAAATCTGTGGAATCAAAGAAAACAAGAGTAGAAGTAATGTCAAATTAAAGAACACGAACCCTCAAAATCTCAGTACTCGTTTTTGACAACAACGACAAATGACAGGTAATAGGTAAAGCAAGCAAAACAACCCAATATAAACACCATAAGTCGATTCCTCAAACCCCACCAATTTCCCAGATATCGACAAATCCCGTCCCATTGCCCAGTTCTCACAAAACGTCACATCACCTCATAAAAAAACACCATAAACACGCCTAAGACGCAATCAACAAGCTCTTTCCTATCTAAACCAAAAACATCTACATATATCCAAAAAAAATGTTACACAACACATCCTTTACCACCCCTTCACCACCCAAATCCATCCATTCACCACCAACCCCGCCCCACAAAAAAAGGTATTCCAAATCTTCTCCAACACACCTTCCCCCTTCCACACTAGTCCAGCCAAGGATCACCTCCACCACTGACCAATAAAGTGTAGATCTTAAAGCAGTGACGCTATTCCCAAGGTAATCCCTGAACGTGTTGGTGGGGTGAAGGGTTCCACAAGTAGAGGGGTTTAAGTTTGGCTTTTTTGACACATTCACCCAACAGCTCCTGACGTCTGGTTACCCCTCTTGTTCTTGATCCATCTACCTACCCAACTTCATCTATCTCACCTTTCACATCTACACGACAACTTCAACAATTGACAAATCAATTAACCGTACGAAAACAAAAACGAAACAAACAATCTCGCAAACATGGTCCAAGTCGGCGATTCCATCCCCAGCATCGAGCTCCAGGAGAAAGCACCTGGCAACAATGTTGATCTGAGCAAGGAGCTCGCCACGGGCTCTGGTATCGTTATTGGAGTGCCAGCTGCGTTCAGTAAGTTTTCCTTCGTCGGATTTTATTCTTCTATATCTATTTTATTCTGTTGGAATGGCGTACTGTGCTTGATAATGTACAATTTGCTATTCGCGGTGTTGTAGAGAGAAGATTATCTACCCCTCATTAGGACCGGTCCCAGCATTGCTAACCACAACCTCTCAGGCCCAACCTGCTCCGACACCCACATCCCCGGCTACATCGTCTCCCCCAAACTCAAGGACGCGGGAAAAGTCTTCGTCATCTCCGTCAACGATCCCTTCGTGTACGTCCTATTCCATTCCCTCCCTTCCCCCCTCCCTTTCAATCTCCTCCTCCCCCGCAAAATCCCCCAACTAACACACCCACCCACCCCAGCATGAACGCCTGGTCCAAATCCCTCTCCACCCAATTCGGCGAGTCCAGCATCCGCTTCCTCGCCGACCCCGCCGGAGCCTTNACCCACCCACCCCAGCATGAACGCCTGGTCCAAATCCCTCTCCACCCAATTCGGCGAGTCCAGCATCCGCTTCCTCGCCGACCCCGCCGGAGCCTTCACCCGCGCCCTGGACCTCGAGTTCCCGGCCGCTGCCATGCTGGGTACCAACCGCAGCAAGCGATATGCTATGGTGGTGAAGGATGGAAAGGTGGAGAAGATTGAGGTGGAGGCTGTGCCTTCTGATGCGAAGGTTTCTACTGCTGAGGCTATCTTGGGTTAAGTGCTTCCTGGGGGAGAGTGCAAAAAGGAAAGGAGGAAGGAGGGAGTAGATAGGATGGGACGGATAGTGGTTTGTGGGGAATTGATGCATTGCATTGTGATTCGGTATCTTGCCGCCTGTCTACCTTTCCGCAATCTTGTAAGAAGCAGCAGGACGGTCCTCCAGCTCTGGCGAGTTGTGCACTCTAGAAGTCCTATCAACAGTATCACAGTATCCGTCCTAACACATCACTTCTCAGCTTCACGCTCCGCTCTAATCATTTAACCTTACCTGTGTAGAGGCGGGGTTAAAAGGCTACTGTAGCTGATCCAAAAGTGCAAACCCCCCACACCAAATCACAAATCCCCCTCTCCTCTCGTTCCATAGCCTACAAAGTACCTACCACTCACTCCCCATGGCATCATAGTATAACTAATAAGCTACTATAAGCATTCCAGACTTTTCAGGGCTGAGAGAACCATTTCAAACCTATGTAGTCTGGGTACTTCTGCCTACCTACTGTATGTACCCCCACGCCTACCTATTCGCAAAGCTGAAGAAGAGAGGTAGCTCGCAGCTCATAGTAGAGTACATATCTCCTCATATACAGAATTATGCCCCAATTTCAGTAAGATACCTACCTACCACTATATTAATTTTTAGATCTACCACTACCACTCCATCAAACTTCCCAAAGAGCAGCCAAAGGAAAATGGTCAGAAAAGAAAGAAAAGAAAAGAAAAAAAAGTGAACTAAACTCTAACCAACTCTTCAGAAGCTACCTGATTGATATCGACGCTGTAGTTGAAACTCCTTGAGATGCATTCGGGGCTGGGATATTATGAGGGGTAAGAGGGGTTATGGCACTTTGTGGTAGACTGAAATTTGAGATTCTTAGGTGTTAGGTACAGAGTATGGGATGGGGAGGAGGATGGTGGGTATTAATTAGGGTTGATCAGCTGAAGGATAGCTGAAGGAGGTGACGTATAGTATAGTATAGTACAGTTTAGGTAGTTGCAGTAGAGGAAAACAACTGACTTCAAAAACCTCACCTATCCGTGCCGAAGGTCCCTTTGTAGCTCAGAGTATCTGTTCAGATCCATCTAGATCCAGATCCAGATGCGATATGTACCAACCCAGAAATTGAAAAATGACGAGGTTAAAATTCAAGAAGATTAATCAGGAAAGAATAAAAATTATATTAAAGATAAAAAGAAGGGCCACTCTAGATTGTAAAGTGCGGATATCTACAGTACGACAAAACCAAAAAAAGGATTTCATAAAGAAACAACGCCATCGTAAAATAAGACATATATCTCATAAGATACCTAATCCTCTACACCCCCCATCTTTCCACTCAACAGAAAATCTTATAAATCCTCTTCCATCTCGGCAGCGCCGCCCTCTCCACCCGATCCGCCTCAATCAGCGCCGCCGTATCAAGTTCCCGTCTTCCCGTATGCAAATCCATATCCATACTACGCATAAACGGAGTTTTATAGTAGATCTTATACGGGACATAGAAAGCGATAACCACGGGCGCCGCAAGGTACGCCAGAAAAAACGTCTTTGCGATTTCGGTCCCGGAGAGGTCGCCGTATCCCACGGGCCAGGCAGCCGTCCAGAATTGCGCGATGAGGACGAGGCAGTTGAGCAGGAAACCGACCCAGGAGCCGATAACGCCGACTTGGGAGCGGAAGGCGAGTTCGTCGAGGCTGTGGCCTTGCTTCTTCCAGGCGTGTCGGAAGCGGATGTGTGCGAGGCAGATGGAGCCCCAGGTGAAGATGGAGGAGAGTCCGGAGAGGGAGTAGAGCCAGTTCAATGCAGTGTTGGCAGTGGTTGGCCCACCTGCTACGACGTAACAGAGGAGTCCGAGGATTGAGGCACCGATGATGGCAAAAAGAGGGCGGCCTTGTCGGTCGATGTAGGCTAGAAATTGGGGGGCTTGACCCATTTCTGCCAGAGCGGCGAGGGTACGAGAAGAGCCGTAAATCGAAGAGTTTCCAACGGACAAGACAGCGATGAGAATAACAACGTTCATGATGGATGGTAGGACTTGGATACCGGCATTGTTGATGGCAATAACGAATGGTGATGCTTTGGCATCAGTGGAACTTGCACCAAGAAGTCTTCCATCGCCATATGGCACCAGGACACTGACCAAAGTCAAGGAGACCATGTAGAAAAGACAGATTCGCCAGAAGACCTGCTTGATGGCGGTCGGGAGGGATTTGCGTGGGTTGTCGGCCTCAGCAGCAGCCAATCCAACTAACTCGGTTCCAGCAAAGGAGAAAGCAGCGGTGACGAAAACACCACAAAGACCTTTGAAACCGTGGTTAAAGGCACCAGAGGCAATGCTTCCAGGTTCTTGGCCGCCAATTGTGTAACCTGCATAATCTGTCTGTACGGTATTTGGATACCAGTAACGACCGCCAATATATCCACCCATAGGCCCGCCGCCGCAGTTCAATACAATTCCAAGTAGGATGAAACCGATGACGGCAACGACCTTGATGATAGCGAAGATAAATTCCGCCTCACCATATCCTCTCACACCAAAGAAGTTGATGGAGACAATTACGATAAGAAAGATAGTTACCCAGGCGGCGGAGTTGGTGTCCTGCGCACCTGGCCAGAAGTTTAACGTGATTGAAGCAGCGACGATCTCAAGAGGAAGGACGACAAGCCATTGGATAGCGTAGCTATAAACAGGTCAGTCTCTCGTTAAGAAATCCTTTTGGTGACAGAATTTGACAGACAAGATGTGAACTGTGAGAAAACTAAGAGCGAGAATACTTACTTCCATCCCATAGCAAAACCCCATGCTGGGTCCAAGAAGCGTGTTGAATATGCTGAGAAGGAACCGGCGACAGGAAAAGCAACAGCAAGCTCACCAAGAGCCTGGACCGTACAAAACATGAGAATACCAATGATACCATATGCGATAATTAATGAAGCTGGTCCACCTCCTGCGAGGGCAGCTCCAGAAGTAACGAACAAACCAGTACCTGGAGTTTGTTAGTAAACAAAGTCGCTTCACACTCCCCTGAATCTTGGCGAGTGCTGCCACCATCTCAGAGATTCTAGGCTCGATAAACTTACCAATTGAACCACCGATGGCAATCATTTGCATATGTCGCCCCTTCAGCTTCTTTGCCAACCCCGAATTGGCAGTACGTTCGGCGGCAGCAGCATGATCGAACCCCCCTTTGGAATCTGCTCTATCGGATGGTCTCGTGAGGGAAACATTAGGATCACGTTTGAAACTATCAACAAATCGAGTTGTCCAAGGACCTTTCGATTCTCTGGTGGGTGAGATACGAGACGACGATTGATCCGAGGTAGGCACCTTGGGGCTCCCCTTCTCCTCGTCATACTTTTCAGCCATGATGTCGGATACGGTATATACAGAAGGAAAAAGTTCAAGAGAATCCAGAAGGACCAGAACCAGGTACAAAAAGAGCAAGAGTCTTGGACGAGGGGGGAAGGTGGGAGATTATATAAATGACTTCAAGTACCTTTTCTCCGGGGGCAAGTCCTTATTGTATGAGCCCCTCTCAGGTAGGTGACGCCGTTCGTGCATGCATAGCTACCAGGGTTTCTGCGATCCACATGTACGTAGGATAACGTCCTCACCGGATTGGTAGTCGAGCTGCGAGCGGGTTAAACAAAACGGCCGGCACTACTAAATAGTGCTACTGATACGGCGTACTAAGCTGTAGGATAGCTGATGGACATATTCATTCGTTGAAATTTGTTGTTCTTTGATATCAACAGCCTCATAGGTAATGCGCTCTTTGTGCCAAGTGAGGGTAATAAATCTGTGGCGAGGATTTCCAAAGTCATTGGGTAGATGTGACAAAAATCCCGATAACGCTCATGTCAGATTTGCAGGATTTGCAGATTTTAGACCCCCATGACATGTTCGGGGGCAAGGTCTGAGACTGTACAGAAATGTAGGTACTCGAGTACCCCAGCCACCGACGGAAGACGGAACTGGGACTGCCCAACCCCATATTTGGTAACTTGGGGAGCTGAACTAATCAGGCAGTGTAGATATGTTGGGGGTAAATTTCGAAGTGACGATAGACGCTGAAAAGAGTGCTGAATCTGCTGAACTGAACTGGCTGAGTCATTCTGGTAGATATGATAGGGACGGGAACTGTTCGAGATCACATAGTGTCGTAGCTCAAGACTTACCTACAGTAGTCGACCTGTAAAAATACAGAAGAAAATAGCCGGGAGAGGTTGCAAAGACCCTGTCATGCCCAACCTACTTAGAAAGGAGGTTGAAGGATTACAATTCCATCACCAATGGGAGTCGGAGAAAAGGATCATATCTGTAGATCTTAAACCGTATTAAACTTCGGGGCCGTCCCGAGAACTCTAACATCCACCACCAACATGCGGACAACTCGATGTTGGTCAACCGCTTCTTTCCAACTTCTGGAGGATTGAATCCGAGTACTGTATGAGATATGAGAACAGAATGCAGCATCGGTGTTGTGCGCGCAAGTTCGCAACCTTCCGCTAGTAACATCACACGAACACGGGACTTTTTGTCGTCATGTCATGGAGGCGAGAGGGCGCCCTTTCAGCCTTGCTTAGCCCCGTTGTATCTTTCACAGCCATTCGAGTTGAGCCCAAAACGTAGTTCAACAGCTGCACGAGACGAGCGAGAGTAGAACTGTCTAGACCACAATACGTCTGCCGCCGCTAGGAAGTTTCCTTATCGGTCAGTTCCAGTTCCATCGAATAAACCCAGCATCAATCCCGGAGTTTCCCAAAGTGCAATTGCAATTCCAAACCATGAAGATGTTGGATTCCAAGCTTGACGAAGAATACGAAAAATTCTGCCATGGCCGTGCCAATGCAACTCAAGCCTTCCCAGCCGTGATAGCCTCCGAGTTGGAGCCGGTGCCAAGCCCGTTCGGGTAGGGCTTGTTTTGTTGCCGAGAGTGCCGCTCAGTGCCCCACTCAGCAGCTCTATCATTGGCTTCCATACCTTCCATGCAGAAGACTTTCCCAACGCCACAAAATCACCACAAACAGTATCCTAAGACCCAGTTTGCGGTAACCAAAAGGGAAATAACATGCTTGGCAAGACTTATTTCCGACGTATTGTACGCTGCAGATCAGTCAGTAAGCGATTCAAGAATCGAATCGAACCATGCCATACTACTGTCGTATGGAAATCGCGTGAGACTCCAACATATATCCCGTGCCTCGTAGCATCTGCACCAATCGCTGTGCGTGATAACTGATAAGGGGGACCAGGAGGAGGTTCATTGCAGCGTTAATTCGTGGGGAAGGAGAATTTACTGGGCAACCCGCCTTTATCCCCTGCCAGATTGAAACCAGCATCTCGGATAGAAAGGACGTCCTTTCTTGTTTAGGAAGCTGTTGATATGCAAGATTTTACGGTGCCTTCTGCCTAAATCCATCTGCAGATTTACAGGCCCCTTTTGTCTTGTGATTGTTGACCTGTAAGATGAGACTCGCTTAGGGCCAATGTACTCGAGTATTGTGCGAGAGCGCAGTGGAAGACGCACTGACTGTTATGACTAATCCTGTTTTGCTTTCTTTTTGGGAAAAGAGGGCATTGTGGACTTGTATTTTGTAGATCGTGGTTTGTAAGATATATGGAAAATAGTTTCATCGTTAGGGTTCAGAATCACGAAATATCCCACCAGGTACAGAGGATAGTTGTGAACAGGGCAGATACGTCTGGTCAACCCCTAGCTAAACAAGCGTTCATCCTTTGCACGCTCCTTGTCCTACAAGAAATATATTTAGTCTTATTAAGGACGTGTAAAGTGGTTTCGAGCAAACCCTATTAAAATATATAGAGGATGTTTTCATATCACGTGAGGACTACCGACCTACAAGAGCTAGCGGCGAAAGTAGGAATTATTAATAACTTCTTCCTGCCCGAGAATAGGATGCGTACGATAGAGCCCTAGGGCTCTCTTTTTCTCGCCCACCACCATCCCAATCTGTACACCACTATTTGTACTGCTGTACTACTGTTGTAGCCAGCTTTTTTGTTTCTGTTTTTAGGAATAGGAATAGAAAGAACGTATAGCACCCTAGGGCTCTCCAAAACCTAGGTGCTGGTCCTATATATGTGCCCCCTTTAGCCGTGACCAGAACGAACGTGAATATCAAAATTTATTTTATACACAACTCCTACATTCGCCAAAGAAAACCTATAAAACCCTAGTAACCTCTCCTTAATAAACAACACCCCATTCAGCCCAAAACTCCAACCGTAAATTCTTCCTATATCGCTATACAAAAGAGACGCGGTTGAATCAGGGGTTCGCTAAACACGAAATCAGCTTGGCGGGACAAGGAGGCGGAGATATCTATAACATTCGCAAGGTCAAACTAAAGTGTTTTTTTCTGGTTACAAACATTTATTATCTTTTTGTATATATATCATGAATTTAATATCCGTATTTAATACTAAAATCGACACCTTATAGACCGTCATAAAGATCTTCCATCACGCCACAATCTCCAGGAACTCTTGTGATATCCTCGTTATCTTCCTTCACATAATGAAATTTGACCTGAAATTCCGTTCAACAACAACCACGTCCTGTGGATTCCATATAAAGCGAAATCTTGATACCAAATTGAGAAAGCTCAGGGGGCTAGGAGGGGGGATGTGAGTATACCAAAACAATAGGAGAATAAGTTCTTTTGGGAAGTATGTTGTGCCTCTCAGATCACCAATTTCATCATCTTCACAAAAAAAAAACGATTCATGAACCATGAAGATATTTTTCGATGGGCAGCTCGCAGTTGTAGATAACAATAAAAAGTGCGTTGCACACAGGTCCTTGGTAGAGTAGAGTACAACCAGATACTTTTCATTAAGCCATAGACCCTATTTGTCTGTGCTATAGTACAGTACATTATCATTCAAACCAAGACCAAGACCTGAATCACCTAGACTAACCGAGACAAACCAAACCCCTGTTTTCCCCGCCAAATATCTCCGTTCTCAATATCCAAAACAATGACTCGGAAGTTTAATATCAAAGTAAGAAGCAAACACAAAAGAAGGAAAATTAGACGAGATTCGAGAAGCGTCAAATTCACACAGCAAGACTCTACAAAACAAGCGCAAGAGCACCCAAAGCCCCAGCTCCAACAAGAGCAAAAACCGCCATAAAGCTCCCGGGAGCCGCCTTCCCAGCAGCACCGGTAAACTGCACAGCCCCAGTGGCAGTCGGCATAGCCCCAACCGTTCCAAAGTTGCCGCCAAAGGTAGATGTAGCAACCGTAGAAAGGGCACAAGAACTACAGAACGGAGACTTAGCCGCTGGGTAAGTAGTAGCCACCGTAATCGTCGCGGCATTGCCCCCATTTCCATAAGTGATTGTGGCGGGTTTCTCAACCATAGGCGAGTACGTGGTATACGGAACGGCGTTCTGTGTGAAGACAGGAGTGGTGGCCCATGGACAGGTGGCGGTTAACGTGGTGCCGGGGCAGGAAGCACATGGGTAGATGGTTGCGGGCTTGGGGGGAGAGGAGCAGGCGGGGCAGTAGGTGGATGTTGCGGTGAAGAAGGATGTGTAGCTGATCTTTTGGCTGGAGAGGGCGCAGACGTAGCAGGGCATGCTGGCGATTTGGGTGTTGTAGATGGGCTTTTGGTAGGTTGAGATGGCGGAGGTGATGGTTGATGTGAGGGTTGTTCCTGGGGCTACTGTGCTGCATAGTTCGGTTAGGTAGATGGAGACGACGACTTCGAGGCCGATGCAGGAGATTGTTGGAATGCCGGGGGTGATATATGGTGGTGGGGGAGTGGTGATGGGGTAAGGAGGGAGGAAGGTCAGGGTTGTTGGCTTGAGGACAGTGGTTGGTTTAATAATAGTAGTTGGACTGTAAAAAAAGATTAGCATGAAGAAAACTCATCTTATATACTGGAAGAAGTCACTCACGTGTAGACGGTGGAAGTGTTGAAGAACCCAGATGGGCCAACAGATCCAGATGGCTTCACGGAACCAGAAGGAATGATACCTCCAGTAGGTTTGATGCTTCCAGTAGGGAAGACAGTACCGTTAGTTCCCGAAGTTCCATTGCCTGCTTTTGGGAAACAAGATCCATCTCCCTTTGGAAGACCACTCTCGCATTTACAAGACTTGGAACATCCATCACCATCAACAATATTCCCATCATCACACTCTTCCCCGATACTGCCGTCCCATTTCCCATCACCACATCCAGCTGGCGTGGCACCACGAGTGATGATATAAGGAAGACCAGAGTGTCCATCACCATAGTTTTGAGTACCAGGGAACACAACACCGTCGGCAATAGCAATAGCTTGGAATCCGTTCATACCGACGGATGGGTAGACGGAGAAGGCTTCGTGAACCGAGCAGCCCCAATTGGAGAGGTAAGCATCAGTGAGCGTAGCGATTGCAGGAGATGTAGCGACGATGTGAACCTTGTCATAACAATCAAGTTTTCCACGAACCTCAAAAGTACCAAAGTAGCTGAGGGCATCAACGTTGGACACTTCAATGGTATCGTAGTATTGGGAGAGGGAGAAGTAAAGACCGGTTTGAGAAGCACCACTGAGGGCCTTTCCTGCAGCGGCGAACTTGATACTGTTCTCAATCAAGACGTCCTTTGCGTGATTCGATTGATCGGCTCCGTGGATGATAATGTTACCTTGAACAGCTGGACCCCATGTGTTCTTGGTATCGGTCAGAAACTTGATGTTGTCTTGGTTGCTGGATCCAAAGTTATCCCCGATGATGATAGCTTTGTATGAAGCAAAATCAGAGGTGGTGAGGGCCCGCCATTGTGCTTCCGTCACTACCTTGGTTGTGAAGCCAAGATCCTTTGCACTTTGTTCCTCACGACCAATCAGGTTGGTTACGAAAAGGAGGTCTTCGGCTAGAGCAGAGGAGGCGAGGGCCGAGAGAGCGGCAAAGGAAATAGTCCACTTCATGGTGAGGAACTGGTTTGATGATAATTATACGGAGGAAATTAAGGGATAAGAAACAAAGAGTGACTAGAGGACGAGTCCTGATGAACGAATGTGTAAAGAACGTAGTGAGTTGGTGAAGAAAAAGCAGGGACATATGAGAGGGAAGTGAAGCTATATACAAACATGATTTGAGGTTAATTTCCACCATCTTCTACAAGAACTCGCTGGCTATGTTCAGGGGCCAGCAATGAGTCTTCCCGTGCTAGGTTCTCAACAGCATCATAGGGACAATATCCAGCCCCAAAACCAAGCCGAGTTTAGCAAAAGACCTGCCAAGAAGAACCCACGGCAAGGCAGAGTCTCAGGATGGCCATGTTTTTGACCAAGATCGTTACTGGTCCAATGACATCCCGTCCTTATTATACACTTCAGAGAAAAAGGGACCAGAATGGCAATAACACGGGTTCAGCTAGAAGCCAAGCGAGATGTTCTGCGAGGTACCAGGAACCATCACTGCGTCCATGCCATGCTGTGACACAGAAATCAACACGGCCTCCAATAAGAAGAAGTACGGAACGGGTGAAAGCAGAAAAGTGCCAAGCTAACTTAGCGAAAGGATTCCAAGCTTTGGCCATCAGAGGGTCACAAAATCTCCACAGCGTTTGCTGTTTCTGCTTTCATTCGCTCCTTCTTTTCGTCTCTTTTTAACTCTCGGCTCTCTTCAGAAAGCCTGTTCAGTTCAAGCCTCCTGTGCTGCTCTTCATTCTATGATTTTACAGAACGGTTGGAGATATCGTTGAATGTTTAAATTGCAAAACTCGAGGAGAAACGTTGTGCTGATGCACTTCTTCCCCGTGATGCACCTCGTCGGAAAAGAGGTGCTGAGCTGAGCCAAGTTTTCTTTTTTGCAATCGGGTTGTTCCGAGCAGACGGAACGCCATGAAATAAATCATAATAAACAAATTTCGGAAAGCAAGTCAAACGCTTACAAACTGATGACATGAGCTACATTGCCAAATGGTACTTCTCTGTCGTTGAAGGATCGTTCGCCAGCACTTCAAAAACATCGAAAGGAAGAATATCGAAGATGCGGCTCAAATACAACGCCACAAGCTAAAAAAAGCAAAGTAAACCCGGAGAGAAAAACACTGGAAAATACAACCCTGTGAGCGTGGTAGCTATTCATAGCAAAGCACACATAAACCAATGCTGAACGACAGAAGGATCATCCTCGCAACCATACCCTTTACTCGTACTGCAATCCCGTAAGGCTGCATGAGAATGCAATTTCAACTCTTCCTTAAACCCTGAATGCTGCGCGAGGGAAAATGCCGTGTAACTCTCGTGGAAATATTGTGTTGGTATGTACTGTACAGTACACCGAGTATCCTAATATCGAAATAAGCTTTCTTGCTTCGGGATGATGTCAATGGTTTAGTGGAATGGTAATTTACCTTGGTGTTCGAATCCTTCGTTGCTTGGGTTGCTTGTTTCTCTCGGACGGGTTGGTACTGTAGGTAGGGTAGGGTTGAGGTAGGGCTGAAGGGTTGAACCTTTCCACAACACCCCTCCATACATACTCCCCAAGTGCTGTACCGAGTTACTCCAGAGGATCTATCATATCCATCTGCAAACGGCCATGCAAGCTTCTTTGGTGGTGGAACAAGACCAAACTCAAAAACAATCTCATCAACAAATTCCTTCCATCACTCACCTCAACCTTACCTAAAATTCACAAGAAGGGAAACAGACTCTTACTTTCCCACCCAGACTTACTGTAAGAAAGCAATCCAAACGCCACAAGCACCGGAACTTCTACCTCTAACGCGGAGAATCACCTGTATCCTTTCGACGTCACACTTCTCGCTTGCATAGATGACCAAGCTGGAGGCAAGGAAGGGCACCCGCACCGAAAGCTGTGCTGCGTTCTGTAGGAGATGAGTGTCTGAAGTGATTCTACCTAGTACGGGGAATGGTACCAGCATCTCAACTTCTTAAGTGGTACGCAGATGTTTTGTTCCTATCCACCATGAGATTCTTCTCTGAAGACTAGATTCGCTGTTCAGGATATGGATTCGGTCCTATATACTTCTAAGAAAGAAACAAACGACAGACAAATAAAGACAAGGTTATGTGCGTACAATCATATTCATTCATTTCATTTTTTTGGTCTTAACTCGTGATGCATGATACATTCAGATCTCTATGCTTTTGCTCGCTCACAAGACAAGCATCTATTTTTTTTGTTCTCAATCCATTTGTTTTTCTACGCTTATAAAAAGACCTCAAGGTTGATCTCCAGCGTGCTTACAGGGTACCTAGGTGGCTCGTGTTAGCTGTAAGAACGAAAGAGACTGACTGGTGGAATATGGTACGTACCTCAATTCAAACTTCTCCAAAACTGTTGGATGCAAAATACCAAACTCTCCAATACGAACCTGCTTACCACCAACTCTCAAATAAATAGCGGCTGCGTGACCCTGGAAGAAGGTTTCCTCGTCTATCTCCTCGATCCAATATCCATCCACCTTTTGATGATCTTGTCGGACTTCGTAATCTAATCCCTTCTTATCCTCAAGACCTTCTTCGTGTGTGAGAAAGGCAGTCTTGAGCATAAGCAAAACACGATCAAGAAGACCATGGACAACCTCGAAACCAGAGGTTTTACCGTACCAAGCTGCTGCAAAGTGACGCTCGTTGCGGGACTTTCGCTCTAGGGAGACATCTTTGAATGCGACATCTGAGACTTCGAAAACCTTGATAGGGACAGAGTGTTTCTTGTTCTCACGGATTGTCTTGAGGAGACCTGGAAGGAGGGAAGTGCGGACGATTTGGTACTCGGCTGTTTTGGGGTTGGCAAGACGCACTGCGGTGGAACCATCATCTTTTCGATTCAACCATGCGAAGTTCTCGTCATGCGAGCAAAGAATAAGAGGCATAACTTCACTCCAGCCAGCCATGGCAGCTTCCATACGAACAATGTCTCCGAGCTTGTTGACCATGAGAGGTTGTGCAATTGTGGAAGATTTATTGGGTGAGGTTCGGGGAAGATTATTGAAACCATACGCAATGGCAACATCCTCCATAATATCGCATTGGTGAAGAACATCGGCGCGAGATGGGGGTATGGAAACATCAAGGATGTTTTTCGAGGAAGAAGAGGGGGTAGCAGTGAGACACATCTTTTTTAAAAGTTCGCAGATTCTTTCAGGTGTTTCCGAAAGTCCACAACAGTTGTTGACGTAATCGACCTCTGCTTGGGCTACTCTTGGACTGATATCTGGTGTTTGCCTGGTCTCGCCATTGTGTTCTGAAATGATCTTTACCGGTTCGATGGTGAAGGGCTCGGCACAGTATTGAGAGAACATGGCAACAATAATGTTGTTAACGATCTCCAACTTGGTTCGATCCGTTCCAGTCATTTCAATGAAAACATTAGTGGTATTCAGGGAGATTTTGGAGTGATCGCCGTTGATGATTGGAGGCATCGAGCAAACTATCCGCTGGGAATCGTAGATCACTGGATATACTGGCTTGTCGCGAATGATGTGTAAGAACTTGGCCAAGTGCTTGTCATTCTCGTAGTGCGCCATCATTTCCTCGCCATTCATTTCTTTTTTCTGATTGAGAGGGGTGAAGACAATGTCCTTGGGAGGTAATGCCTCGTATGTGAACGGTCCTTTAATTGTGTCCAAATCATGGGTCCCGATAGCCACCAGTGTTCGATTTCTTGCCAAATTCTGGTGGAGTTTGTCTTGTAAAGAGATGAAGGAATCATAGCTCTCTTGCGTGAACTTGACATTGCGCAAAATGGACCCAGACACATATGGGCGGACCTTCAGCGTATCGGGATGCACGGTAATAATCTCTAGCTCTCCGCTCTTGGGTGTGACCAGTCGGTAATTTGGCATAGGGGTCTTCTCTCGGAAAATGTTCAGCATCAAAGCTATTCCCTCGAAGCAAAGCATATCATATCTGTTGGCGGGGATCTCAATTTTGAGTTGCGGGGCTTCTTGCTTGCCATTGACGATTGGGCGTTCGCTATTCGAAGTATCCTCGTCCAATTCGATTCCGAACTCGAAGCATAGCGTCTCAAACTCGTCGGTGGTATATCTCGAGTATATGTCAGTACATTGTTTTGGCGGGGTAGCGCTTGGGGGAGGGGGAAATACTCTTGCCCCAGAGCTTTGTAGAGCTCAGCCTTGTCGACGCTAATGGTAGGCATATTTGCGGTTGACTGTGGGCCACCCACCAATTGTTGCTAGTTTTGAAGGGGGTATCGAGTGCAGGATCGTCTCTTCTCTAGGTGTTGTGGAGAGTTGTCGCAACCAGGTCCCCTAGAGTCATAAAATGACTCCCGCTGTATCCCCGTCCTCAAAATTAATGGCTGCCCATGCCCACCACTCCCATGCCCACGCTGCACTTTGGGTCTGTGCACTCAACCCTATCTCTCATTTGGGAACATTCAAGTCAAGGCCGGTGAAGAACATTGAATAGCCCTTGATCAACCCCCCCGCCAACCACTGCCACGGCCACTTCTACCAAAACACCACCACTGATCCCATCATCGTCTCTTCCACGCCTCCACTCGCCTTTCCAGCTTGTAGCTCAGGTACGTGCAATGCCATATGAGGTTTCCCCCATCGAAGAGCTGCCCTCAAAATAGCTCCGTCTCCGTCATATAATGCCAGGAAGGCCCCCCGCTATACCACATCTACAGCTTGCAAGGGCACTGGCATGGGCCTTTCTACGCACATCTCACTAACATTACGGGCCTTTAGATACCCTGGCATACGCCGTGTAGTGCCATCTCAACGCTTCGTATCGCTGCTGAGCTTCAACGGCGCCCTCAAAATACAGAACTAACACGCGATCGATATTGCCAAAGCCCCAGGTAAACAGACTAGCTCTGGGCCTCATTGAATCTCCTCACCAGACCAACCCATCACAAGCTCCTCCTTCGCATCCTTCGACATGGCGGATGGCCCTGATAAGACCGACGAGCTCTACCCTATTGCCGTTCTCATCGATGAGTTAAAGGTGCGGATCTTGCTGTCCATCAGGGGAACTTTTGGACGGGCCTATACTTACGGCTATTCTAGCATGACGATGTTCTTCTCCGACTAAATGCCATACATCGTCTCTCAACAATCGCACTCGCGCTGGGAGCGGAGCGCACACGGGATGAATTGATTCCTTTCCTGGACGGTATGTTGGAAACATAAGACAAGACCTGCTGGAGTTTCATGAGCTTATTATTTTGCGCAGAATCGGTCGAGGATGAGGATGAGGTCCTGACTGCCTTGAGTGAGGAACTCGGGGGCTTTGTTGAATACGTTGGTGGGCCAGAATGGGGTCATGTCTTGCTTTCACCACTCGAGAACCTCGCGGCAATCGAGGAACCCTTGGTGCGAGAAAAGGTATGTTTGGATGGAGTGCAACAGTGTCATCTACTGACAGATTCAGGCGGTTGAATCTCTAAACAAAATCTGCGAGGAGCTCTCATCTCAGCAAGTCGAAGAATATTTTATCCCCCTGACCATCCGTCTTTCGAAAGCCGACTGGTTTACATCAAAGATCTCAGCAACTGGTCTCTATAATGTCCCATACAAAAAGGCGTCGCCTCCAATGCAGGAGCAACTTAGGCACCAATTTGGCCTCCTTGTGCACGATGAGACCCCGATGGTTCGAAGACAAGCGGCAAACAATCTCGCGAAATTCGTAAAGGAAATGCCAGCTACAATTGTGGTGGAAGAAATGATACCCCTTTTTCAACATCTTGCCGGTGATGACCAGGATAGCGTACGACTTTTGACAGTTGAGATATTGATCGCGATTGCGGAGGTCGTACCAAAGGAACAGCAATCGAGTCATGGTGTTCTTCTCACAGCCTTAAGGAGTTTAATTGAGGACAAGAGTTGGAGAGTCAGATATATGGTTGCCGACAGATTTGAAAAGGTTGGTCATTTTTGGGCGAACTCAACCAAGGTTGCTAATACATGACACAGATTGCCAAGGCTGTAGATGATGAAGTCGTTACTAGAGATCTTGTCCCTGCCTTTGTGAAGTTACTCAAAGACAGCGAAGCCGAAGTTCGAACAGCCATTGCTGGCCAGATTCCCGGATTTTGCAAACTGGTTGATCGTACTACTCTTCTAAACGACATCATGACAACCGTGGAGGATTTGGTTTCTGATACATCTCAACATGTTCGCGCCGCCCTCGGAACTCAAATCAGTGGCCTTGCCCCTATTCTTGGTAAACAGGAGTATGTCGTCTAGTGCTCGCTTATTTGTACTTAACTAATAGCTCTAGGACCATCGACCATTTACTTCCCATGTTCTTGCAGATGCTAAAAGATGAATTTCCTGACGTCCGTCTTCATATCATCTCAAAATTGGAGTTGGTCAATCAAGGTTGGTAATTTCTTACTTTCTATAACATAATTCACTAACAATTATAGTCATTGGCATTGAGCTCCTCTCGCAATCTCTCCTTCCTGCAATCGTTCAACTTGCTGAAGACAAACAATGGCGAGTAAGATTAGCCATCATTGAGTATATTCCATTGTTGGCTGCTCAACTGGGCGTAAAATTCTTCGACGAAAAGTTAGCCGCTCTCTGCATGGGCTGGTTGGGTGACACAGTCTTTTCTATCCGAGAAGCAGCAACACACAATCTCAAGAAGTTGACTGAAGTATTCGGAGTTGAATGGGCCAATGAAGCAATCATTCCTAAAGTGATGGCTATGGGCCAACATCCAAACTATCTGTACAGAATGACAACCTGCTTCGCAATTACGGTAAGACTTGTTTGAATGTGTTATTTTTAAATTTGCTGACTGAGATCCCAGACACTTGCTCCAGTGGTCAGTCTTGATGTGGTGGCCAAGTCCATCCTTCCTATGATGGATAAACTTGTCGTTGATGACATTCCAAATATCCGTTTCAACGTTGCCAAGTCATACTCTGAGTTAATCTCTGTGTTGAAGAGACTACCCGATGAGGGCACAGTTTATTCATTGGAAAAATCAGGAGATGCCACTCCACCATCAGCTCGCGGACAGGTCTTGATTCAGGAGAGAATATTACCCAACTTGGAGAAGTTGCAGAAGGATGACGATGTTGATGTTCGATTCTTCGCTACGACGGCCGCTCAATCAATTGCTGGAGAGCCAATGAATACGTCGCCGTAGGTAAATATTGTTCTGGATGAGATGAACAAAAACAAAAATATTTTCTTCAGGCTTTAGGTTATACAAATACCACGAGCCCCTTGACCTTTGTTTGTTCTAGAAAGGAGCAGAAGAATACCAGCATTGTCTCATATTTATTTAATTGGTGATACAGCTTAGCGTGCCTGTGTATAATGAATGCGAGATTCTTCCTTGCTTCTACTTTTTCCTTAATGCAGCTCTTTATGACCATCACAGTTTTCTGATCGAAAGGCGAATGTCGCCTACTAACACGCCTTGCTGTGTACGGTTTTATGTGACGTTATGAGTTATGAAAATAGACCCTCGGTGGAAGAGAGGTGGTAGGGGCTCATATTCTTTGGATTCGTGTAAAAACTGTTAGGCAATTTCTTGAATCTAGAATCATAAACCCCGATGGCTGATCTCCAGTGAAGCGTGGAATAAATGAACTGAAATGCTTTTCGTAGAAGTGTGAGATAAGATGTCTAAAGCTATGGGGGGGGGGTATTTGAGGAGTTCATTTTTGGGGGTGGCAAGGGCGGGAGGTGGTAAGAGATATATATGTCTTGAGGAAGCGGCTTTTTTTGATGGTTTGTTGATAGCGTAGTGTAAGTTGGGAGGAGATATTCTTGTTTGAATGTGCTATCTATATCCCAGTAGCCTATGCTCTTTCCTATGAGAGCTTATACTCCTTCCTTATTTATCTACTTCTCGATACTAACGTAAATACATAAATAACAAAAATGCAACAGAACAACAGAACTCATCGATCCTCCTACATTTCTTACATACATATAAAGTAATAAACTCGTCGACTTAGACTTACTAACACCCAGACCCAGATATCCCCCACACTTACCTATCTAGCTACCAGAAGACTACGTATCCTAGCGATTCCAACTCCCTACATTACGAAAGCGTAATCATAATCCAAAAAAGAACTTCGCGGTCAATTTTGTCCCGTTTCACGATTCGCTGTGTAATACGATAGGATGGTGTTTCTCACACATTTTTAATATTGATTTATTATTGAAAAAGGGAATGGGTTAGAGGGGTTGCTTGTTGCGTAGCGCTGGGTTGATGGGAAGTACAGTATCTGTGTAGGATTAGCTTGAGAATCGATACAGGACTTGGGGATTCTGAAGCCCTTGGGATAAGGGAGGAAGGAGGTGGTAAGAGGAAGGAAGGTTAAGTCATTAATTACAGTAGGAGGGTATTTTGGTTTTAGTCTTAGTAATGTAGGATAGGATGGGTGAGATGTTAAGGACATGATTGTATCGATATATATTTGTTTTTAATTACTGTTTTGGGTGGTATAGTAGGCGGTTGGTTGAGATGAGATGAGATGAGAGGAGTTGAGATTATGGGAATGGTGGTGGGTGGTGGGTGGTGGTGGGTATATATATGCTTCAGGCTACTAAGGTAGGTATTTTGTCATATACTGTGGCATGGATTTGACTAAGTCCGACGGCTTTTTATAATATTAAAAGATGCTCTTCTGTGATGAAAGAGCAGGATGGAATTTGATGGTTGTCTTGATATGGTACCATGGTAAAAACTGTATGTAGAATAGAAACAGTAAGACTTTTGAGAGGCTTCTACTATTGTTGATTATAGAGCTACTGTAGCTGGCTGATTCCAGAGGCTGTTAACTAAGTAACAACTATATTTGAGAGAAGTTCATGGGTGTTAGGTAGGAATGTAATCTTATAAAGGGTATAGATTAGATATAGACGAAGAGCCTATCTAGTATAACCACTTAGGTTTAGAAGAGTAAGTCAGTAATATATAAGGAAAATAATTCTTTGCCTATTATCGCCAACTCTTTTAGCAGTTCAATAAGAAGTTAATTTCTTTGTTCCTTTAAGTCTCGAGTTATATTATTAAAGAGGTACTCGGGTAGGTTTCATGTGAGGGCGCAGGCCCCAGCATAGGCTACTTTTACACCAAAACTCATAGAAACCAACTTCAATAAATTTTACTCACGACTCTCAAGTACTACTAACGTTCACAGCAAATAATAATTCGAGTATTGCGCGTCGATACATCAACTTATATTGTTATACAACTCTTATTAGCCAAAGTTATTAGGTAGCAAAGTTAGCTAAGCGTAGAGTATATATATAAACAGGCGAAATTCGTATATAAATCTAACTACCTAAATTAGCCTAATACTCTAAGGCTAATTTTTATTATTATTATTATAGACTTAGTAGGAAGCTTTATAAGGTTCGAATTTATACACGTCTTTAATTATAGATAAATCTAACTAGGTGGGAAATAATTATATATTATAGAAAAGTAAGTAAAAGGGCTCTTTTTGGTGGGGTTTACGGCCCGCCGTAGGCCTGCGCCCTCACATGAAACCTTCCCGAGTAATAGAAGCTAGTGGTCAAATGGGACGAACTCTTCCAAAAGAGTAATCCTCTGATTTACGTTATCTTTCGAGATAGAGACTTTGTTAATGCTAAGGCACCAATAAACATCATTTGGATATAACGGAGGTTAAACCACCTTGAAAAAACTTGTCCTAAGTTGGTGTGTACTAGTTACATCCAACTACTGTACTCTACTGTGCTATTAAACTGCTACAGTAGTAAGAGCAACTAAATAATGGCATGCCAAGCACAGAACTCCCACTAGTCTTTCCCCCAAATCTAGTAGGATCAATAAACATACTCACGCACACCTCTAAAAAAGACAACCAACCAATAAAAACCACAGAACCTTACCTCAAGCAAGTCCCAGACACAAAAATCGTCCACCTATACAAATAACTTTCATGCAGCCTCTACATTACAGTACCGTTACCTCTGGGCACTCGCATCACAGCAAGCGCAAACCATCCTGTTTGCCTCAGGCGACACGCTTCACGATGTGCAACAAAAAAACCCCCGCAAGTTTGGCGGGGAAGCTAGGTACAGCCCAGGTACTGTACAGTATGTATAAACTCCTCAGGCTCCCAGGCCACGATATTATTTCTACAGTACGAGTACTACGCTACGCTGCGCTGCTAGATCATGGATGGCACTGCTGGACTGCAACCAAAGAAAAGGAAAGGAAAGAAAACCAGTAGTAGTCCTCGCCTAATATGCAATGCAACGCAAGACAACGTGATAACGCCCTTCCACTTCCGCATTTGCCAGAATACCGATATCTACACCCAAGACCAGACAAGCATCTTTCTATGTACGGTATGTACAGTACAAGTATGGACATCAGGAAATAACAGCAGGGATATAAGCCACGAGCGCTTTACTCGCTCCCTCCATACAATACTGCACCACATCGAATTTCTCATCCTTATTCGGTGAGAGCCGGGCGAGTTGATTGAGGTCACTGGTTCGAGGGAGGAAGAGAGCGGTGGGCATTCCTTTGCAGGCTTGGTGAATTTCTTGGACGGAGTAGGGGAGCATGGTGCTGAGATTGAAGATTTCGTCCGAGGTGTAGCCTGGGCCTCCCCATGGGGGGGAGGCAAAGATTACGGTGCTTGAGGTGTCGATTTGGGAGGTGGGTGAGGAGAGGTAGGCGAAGCAATCGGCGTTGACCCAGGTTATGCGATCGGCTACCTGGTAGATTGTTGCGTTGTGTTGGGCGCAGGCGAGAACGGAGGGGTTCTTCTCGATTGCTATGATGGTGTCCCAGTGTCCGGAGAGGGCGAATGCTATGGCGTTTCCACCGGCGCCGGCGAAGATGTCGATGACGATCTTCTTGGAGGGTGTGTATTGCTGGAGATCTTTGGCTACTTGACTGGAGGGAGGATGTTAGAGTAATATGTAATTAGGGGGTATAGAAAGACATACTTTGCAATAGGCTCTGGAGTGACACCAAACCACGCATCGTCCGTCATTTGAATACCATAATCATATGCGGACCAGATGCTATATCTCTGAGCCCAGTATCTATTTGTAGATTAGCCTTGATTCGCCAAAAGATATGTTGCCAACTTACTTTTGGATATCCCAAGGTACGTCTTGACGCCGTGTATAGTGGTGACATTCATCCGTGAGTGGAAATGGATTGGATGCTAGGTTGGCAGTTTCAAGTGAGTAGTCCTCAGCTATTTCAAACTCGGATTCAGCTTCGAGATTTTGCGCTCTCTTTCGTTTCCCGTTTTTCTTCGCCATTTCGAAGGCCTGATAGACTCTCTGAAGAGCCTTTTCAGGGATGATGGGTCTTGCGCTATTACTCTAGAGCTCTCCCTTATTTAGCAAAATAGAAGAGCAGCAACGTTTTGATTGCGATATTTACTTGGGTGATGAGATGCCCACGTAAACGGCTCCTCAGATAGGAGTTGTATCCTTCCAATTCCAAGTCGCGACGGAGCAGATGGAATAGTTGTTGACACAATCTCCCTTCCAACAAACCAACCAGTGGGGTCAAATCCCGACCTGTGTTCTTTTCAGATGAATCTCAAGCAAAGTTCACCATCAACTTGGTTGAAGCCGTTCTTCAAGCGAGTGGCTTGTGATGGATGTGTTTTGATATTGCCACTTTCTGATACTGTAAATCGGTTAGTAAAAAAACCCCAGGACCGGCAAGAACTCTATATCCCAACAAAAACATAAACCTACCGCATACATTACCAACAAAAAAGCATTCAAAACCTCTCACTTAAATATTCTCCTTCCCAACCTCGAAAGCTCGATGAAGCTACTGTATCAAAGCGTCCCAAAATTAACTCGTCCCACATAACGTAGGTAAAGCTCAGACCACCCAATCCCTGCAACAAGGCTGAAGCGACCAGATCGCTCTCACTATCAATATCACCAACTCTCAAGCTCTACAACCACACCACGAACAATTGAACACCCAAACCGAACTACCCAATCATGTTCAACGCTCTAAATCGCTTCATTTCGCGACTAGATTCCGATGCACCAACCCAGAACTCAACATTCGGGCACTTCGGCTTCCAAGTCCTCCGCAACAAAACAGCAGAACTACATATCGAGCCGTGGTTCGACTACATAATCGGGATCAATGGCCGTGTGATTGTATGTTTTCCCCCTCACAACAACATTTACATACGGAAAAGAAGGAGACTTATAAAAAACAGGATGATTCCGACCCCGCTCTCTTCGCCCAAGAAGTCCGCAACTGCGCCGGCAGCACCGTAACCCTCGGAATCTGGAGCGCAAAGGTACCCCCTCCTCTCCCCCTCCTTCTTCCCCCCTCCTTCTTCCTCCCTCCTTCTTCCTACCCATCCTAACCCNCCCTCGGAATCTGGAGCGCAAAGGTACCCCCTCCTCTCCCCCTCCTTCTTCCCCCCTCCTTCTTCCTCCCTCCTTCTTCCTACCCATCCTAACCCCTCCATCCAGGGCCAAAGATCCCGCACCCTCCAAATCCCCATCCCCGCCTCGCAGCCCACCCTCGGCCTAGCCCTACAATGGACCTCCCTCAGCGCCGCCGCAAACATCTGGCACATCCTCGACGTGCCCGCCAACTCGCCCGCCGACCTAGCCGGTCTCCTGCCTTACAGCGATTACATCCTCGGAACGCCCGAGGGGGTGCTACACGGGGAGGCAGGACTGGGGGTGTTGGTGGAGGACCATATCGGACGACCGTTACGGTTGTATGTATATAACAACGAATACAACGTCACGCGAGAAATCACCATTCATCCGAGTAGAGACTGGGGCGGAGAGGGGGCCTTGGGATGTGTCTTGGGATATGGAGCTTTACACAGATTACCAGCACCGTTGAGTGAACCGCTTGCTGCGCCTGGCGAGACGCTTTTCGATACGGAAAATGCGCGGTTTTCGAATGAGGAGAATAGACCGTTGACTGGGGCGCCGGAGAGCCAGTTCTTCGTGCCTGCTGCTGCTAATGAACCAGGGGAGTTCTTGGTACCGGCGCAATTGGCTCCGCCGCCGACTGCTAGGACGGTTCCGACGAGGAAAAAGGATAGGAAACATGCGCATGGTCAGACGGCGGGGAAGAGTGCTTTGGATGATTATTTTATGGAGGGGGAAACGAAGAGTAGGGAATTGGATCATGCGCCTAGTCGGAAGAGTACACCTGCTTCTCCTCCACCTAAAGCAGGAGGGCCTCCAAAAGCTGAAGCTCCACCAGAGGGTCCGCCTCCCGCAGAGAGTGTTGATGGAAGTGTAGACTAATGACGAATGTATTCCAGTTGGAATGCTTGTATTTCATAGGCCCGTAGACAAAGTCACGTAGCTACTTCTCGCAGTCCAGACCCAGTCTTGCTTTCAGTGACTTTTTTCTTATTCCTACAAACATCCGTCCAAGCGAAAACACCCTCCAATCCAGCCAAATTCCAAGCCCAAAGATTTCGTATACACATGACGTCTCAGTTAATGAAGTTAACACAGAAGAAGTGTAGAATCAAGCTTCCGAAAACGTAATCCGCGAAAGCCCTGTATACCAATTAGCTCCTCTTCCCCCCAAACATACCATCTGACATCGAAGAACATGGTGTATATCCATACCTCTCTGGAGAAACCGCGCTGAATTCCGCTTTATTCTCGACATTCGTTTGTATCCGTAGAGAAGCTATGTAATAAAATCCAAGAATTAGCCATGTTGTCCTTATCCAGCACTACCATAAAGTACCATAGGAAAGAAAGGGATTATAAGGAGAGATATAGACATACCAGTTAAAACAAACTGCCCAACCGTAGCCGAGAACCCCGAAAGAAAAGCATTGAAAGGCTACACACACAAGTATTAGCATCCCTCTTCCCCATTTTTCCCCTCCTCATTTTCTCTCTTCCCCCCAAAAAACTTCCCAGGATATAGGTAATACATACATAATTCCCAACCACAACACAATACACAAACTGCAACACCCCAACCACCACCAAAAAACTCATAAACACATCAATCAACTTTGTTCTTTGCGGGGTGGTATCGATGTATTTCTCCCAGATACCCACGGCGATCTGGGATGGTGATTGGTGCTGCTGCTTTGAGGACGAGGATTTGGATGAGGAGGAGGGGGAGGAGGATGTTTGGGCGGGTGTGGAGATTATTGTTTGGGAGGTGGTGGTTGTGGTTGAGGAGGAGGACGAGTTGCGTTTGGGTGCCATGGTTTTTTGGTTGATTGGGGGGAAATGGGAGGAGGGAGGTGGATTGGATTGAGTTGGTGAGGGTTGTGTGAGTTTGGAGTGTCGAGTTGGTTGGTGATGGAGCTTGGTTGGTGTTTGCTTATGCTTTGTGAGGCCACGATGCTGGAGAGGTTGCAGGGGTGGGTTCAAGTACCTGGCCTGGTGTATGCCAAGAAGGGGTTGTGGCGTAATGTGGCTGGTACCCGAGTAGTAAGGTAGTTCTACTATTTCGTCACTTCTGTACCTGCAAAGTATCCTAATACCACCATGCCTTCCGTAATAAAATATCCAAAGGATCCTTGTATAAACAAGAGTTCTTTAAGGGTAAAGGAGAACGGATCCTTTGGGGAAGGAATAAAAGCAATTCCATACTTAAGAAAAAGAAAAGGTCCCGTCTTGGTTTAATAGGTAGGCAGGTACCTAAAGCCTCTCTCTAGGTAACTTTCAAGTAACCACTTGCAAAGGAAAGATCAAGTTACCTCACATCATCCCTTCTATTAGTATACCAAGTAAACCATACATCTACCTAACAACCATCCCATATCTCACATCTTATACAAACCCCTAACTCCCAACTCCCAACTCTCAACTTATTAAAATTTATAAAGAAATTGACATACATATAAACACACGTTTCACATCCGGTATTATATTAAGAAATGAGTAGGTACTGTAGGCAAGTAAGTAAGTAAGCACCTATCCTATCCTCTTGCTGCCCAACATCATACTTACTCCCTCCTTTGAGTCCTTTCCTCTACTCTACCTATCAAAAAGATCCTACGAGGTAAAGTAAAGCAAAGTAAACTTCAATAATAATAATAATTTTTTTATTTTTCCATTTTTTCCCTAACTAGATCTTCGCTATACTGGAGTAGTAGAGTAGGTAAGGTACCCACTCGAACTACCAACCACCAATAACCAATAACCTCTCGCTCAGCTCAACTCATCATCAGAAAGCAAGCCAGCATTGTTCCACCCCTCCCCCAACCCAACGATTCACAAAAAGCCATGTGAATGAAATCTTGGCCCAAATATTTTCCCGTCCGTCCGTTCGTCCTGAACCTTCTCACTCTAATACTGGAAGTGGGAAACCCGAAGATTCCAATGCTATATCAAGGATATAGACATCTTTCCTCAGCGCCCCATATCGTACCTTCTCAATTGCCAATGCAAAATGCAAAACGCAAATGCCAATACAGATCAAGAGTATTCACCCTTCCTCCCATCCCCTAACGCCAATTGATCATTTTCGATCATTGCAAAATACTCCGCAAAACTCCAAATCTAGCCGAGCCCAACAGAGCCCAGTCCCTTCCCAAAAACGCCAAACAAATCCAAATATCGCTCCAATTCCCTCCCAATCATTTATCGTCATCAGTCGCTGTATCGTCGTCCACGACCTCAATATCTTCCTCTTCTTCTTCACCCGATTCATCATCACTATCCTCTTCTACGTCCAATCCGGGGATAGCCTGCCATTCGACATAATCATCATCAACCCAGACTCTGCTTTTGGGCAGATAGTAAGGGTCGAATGGAAAATGTGTCTCCAATTGATGGTAACTGTCATTACTCGAGCCTCCAACATCTCGAAGCGCACCACTACCAACACCAAGAGCAAATTGACTGAGTCGAATTCGCTTGTTGGCCTCCAAAAGTGGAAAGACATACATGAATTTAAGGTGCAGGGCGATCCTGGCAAATTCGTCGACAATATTCGGAGAGCAGACCTTGAGGGGGTTGAGCTTCGAGTAGATAACGTTGTGAAGGGTATTTTTGACTCCCGGTATCCACTCTAAGTTCTCGTTGAGAAATGAATCAACATCATCCTCGTCTGTCTCGTTGACCAGTAGATCTCGCCATCTGAAACAGAATATGTACAAAAGAGCTTGCGTCATAGCGTAGAAAGTACCGTACCGTCGAAGATCAGGACCGCGACAAGTGAGCTCATTCTCGATTCGAGTAATCTCTAGATTGTTGCCAATAAGTTCAAATACTGTCCGTACAACGTGTCCAGCTACTTGTTTGCCCCGAGAGACAAAACTGGCAAGATAAGAAGCCGCAGAATTTCGGAGGACCGCTGGTCTACTCGACTCGAATGTTAATTGAACACAAGTACCACAGAATTGGTCGACAAGATGATCTCCGCGTTGTGCAAAGTGAAAAAGAAGAAACTGTGTGTGGCGAGATCGATAGGTCGGTAGGATGATATTGGCAAAATGCGTCAGTAACATCTCAAACGTGGAGATTGCTTCGTGACTGTGCGTATCCGTAAAATAAGGGCTATACATGGTGAAAAGTATGTCGAGCATAGCATCCATTTTTTCGACCTGGGACTGAGCTTGCTGGATTTTTCTCGAATCGCTTTCGAGATCGTCATCGTCATCGCTGGTAAGAGAGTCCTCATCACTATCGGTGCCATCGTCCCCAGTTTCGTTGGTGCCTTTTCCACTCATTGTAATAGCTTTCATAACTGCCGTAGCAATTTCGTCCTCGTCCTCTAATCGCAATTGCATTTTTACATCAATATTGACAATTTTCTCCGTGACTAGAGCAAAGATATCAGACTTCAACTCTGGTGCGTATTCCATCAAGCGAAAAAGATTGCGAACAAAATGGACGTGAAGACTTTTCGAATCTTCGGGGTCGGGGAATCTAATGGAAAGGATTGGAGAGATGATTCCACTGGCAGATGGGATAAGATGGAGGAGGTATTTGAGTGCGCCATGAACTCTCGATGCCATTTCGTCGCGTTTTACGTCCGGATGACCAGGAAGACGGCCGCTCGAAAATCGGACTGTAAAGATCAGAAATGCTCATTAAGATGTGCCCATATACAGGATATACTTACTTCCAGCGAAGTATCCGACCAGCATTTCGAGGACTTTTCCCACATACGCACCCTGTGCACTAGCCAAACTACCGAGAAATTTGATGTATGACTTGATAAAGGCCTCATCTCTACCCATCCATTCACAATGTAGTATATCCGTGACCAGCGTTGAGCAAGACTTATCCAGATGCGACGCATAACCGGTGAGCGCAATGACATATGACCTAATCTCCAGCCGCTGCTCTACCTCATCCTCATCCTCCTGCTCATCCTCATCCTCGTCATCATTCTCCTGTCGACGGGAAAACACTGCTCGGAGTATAGTATAGCCTTCGTTGTCGCCCTTCGCATAACTCTCAAGTGCCCGACGGACCTCTGTGCGTATCTTGTCTAGGCTTCGCCCTTTGGCGGAATACTCGACAATCTCGCGTTTCTCGACGTCGGGGTTAAAGGTAACTCGAGGCTTCTTAGGAGGATTCGAATCGGCGGCAATTTCATCGTCGAAATCGATGTCCTCGATCTTGCGGCGCTTTCCTGTGGTTGTTGGTCGGATGAGTGGTTTGGGGGATTTCGAGGCTGTGGCGGGGGCAGGCGCCCGAATTGAAGACAACAGAGAAACCATAATGAGATGCGACTTATCGCTAGCTCAAAAGGAATCAACTGCTATCATAGGTCCAAAGTTTTCAACCAAATATCCGTATCCGGCGAATGAATTTGGCGTTGCGAAGTTATATTGTAATAATTGTCGGTTGCTCTCGTGAGCCTCTACAAAAATAGTTTGGAAAAATTGGCCAAGATGGCGGACTTCGCGTGGAGACCATCACGTGGTGCGCTCTACCCCACACAAACCTAGGGGCCAAAGCGAAACTCAATTCACTATCAATGACATAGTCCAAATTTCTGAAACAGTATAAAGAATCAGAGCCTATTTCAACTTCGTAACGAGAGCAGTATCTCTTAATTAATCTAAACTCCTTGTACAATTATAAAGTAGAAACAAGACTACTTTATCAGCAAACAGAAATGTCATCTAATGACCAGTGCAAACGACCCAAATGAAGCAAACAAAACTACTACCATGAACTGCTAATCGCCAAGAAAGAAAAGATTCAAAAAAAATCCTAATATTATTACAGAGGACTGTTTATCCTACAACTGTTTTTAAGGCTCCCATGATGATCCCAGATCCAGAGTACTCCTTGAGCAATATGAGATATCGCGCAGCAAAAAGAAATTGTAGGAGAAAAAGTCTAGAGAACAAAAGACACCCTCCATCTGTGCTTTTTGACCCTGTGATGTTCTTCATGTACAACCCATCAAGTATCGCAATCCCTAAATCCTTCCTTCCATTCATTCCCCCACATTCCCATCCATTCTGGTATCATTGCCAGGGTAATCAAATACAGCCAAAGAAAAATCAAGTCAGTTCCCATTATCCATCCCCGTTGATGTCACAATCACCGTAACACCACCCATTTGCGCCGGGCCTAGGTTCGCTCATAATCGATACCGTAAGCTTTTCAATAACCATCTCCACCAGTTGCACCGTTGTGACCACTTGGAACTTGACCGCCATACAAACTTCCGTGAAAAGCGCCAGCATCGTGTTCGCCAGCTTCTGGTTGTTGTTGACCTCCGAGAATGTTGTTGTTACCCTCAGCGCCGCCAGTAAAGGTGGTTGATGAGGTCGCATTTGCGGCCCCGCCTGATGCGCCAGCGGCTCCATAGCCTTGGCTGCCGGGTCGATTCTCGCCTCTGGTCGATTGTGTCTATTTGCATTGGTCAGCTCTGATTCGCTATCAAGATGCGACGAGAACCTCATGATTTCAACGTCAGACAAATACTAACTTCTCGATACTTGGACAAGTAAATCTTTAAGGCTTCAGCGTAATTTTCGAAACCTAATGAGGTCATCGCAAACAAAATATCTTCGCCATTGACGGTCTTGCGCTTCTCTTGGTGACACTTTTCGGATGCTATTACAAGACTTGTTAGGCAAACCGCGTGTCTTGCACTTATTTTTTGATATGAGACATACCTTCGCTTGTGATGAATGAGATGAATTCGCTGACACATTCTTGCATGCACTCCTTTGCCTCCTTTGCAATCTTTGCATTGTCTGGCAGGGCGGTCTTCATAATTCGAGCGACTGGAGCAAAGTTACGAATGTTAGCATCTGGATGACCATGTTTACCACCACCTCCTCGAGGACCTCTTGGGGAGGAGGGGGACTGGGATGGCGAGGAAGGTTCGTGGGACATGATAGGAGGTGTAACGGCAGTGACACAACAAGATCTCCAGCGTTTGCGCCGGGTATTCAGTGACTGGCCGACGAGGTGTATGACATGCGCGTGTAAGGTAAAGGTCAGGTACGGAGGAGAAGCGATGCCACTCAAGAGCTTCACCAACGCGGAGAATAATGCTGGGCGCAAATCAGAGAGAGGGGATATTCACTGACCATTTGCTATTGGAAGCCACCGATCTTGTTCCTTAACTTCAAACTCATAACCAAGCCCAGAGGCATGTGGGTCGCTTGGGTCATTCATTTGATCGTTATCGGGAGATGCCACAGCATCCTCCTTCGGGGGACTTCCTGAGTCTGCAGACATCTCGACTATTTATTACTCGGGAAGATGCAGAGGTCGATGGTGGCTTTCTGGAAATTCCTTGGACGACACGTCGACACGCAGTGATGCAAAGTGGAGCGAAGATCCTCCTGAGCAAACGCCTTCTTTTTCGTCGACGCACCTCCAAATGAGGACGGGTTCCGGGGGTGGGTTGAGGTGGGAGGTGAGAGTGAAGGGTGAAGGGGGGTGGGAGGAGCAAAAGTGAGGCTAATGCAGGATTACCAGTTGAGTTTTCTGTATGGGTAGTCTAAATTTCTATTTTATTTTAAGACTCGACGGATCCCGGGAAGGTCGTCAGAGGTGGATTGGGTACCTAGGTATGTATGGACGGGTATGGTGAGGTGTGTGGGTGAGGTGAGGTGGGCTGGCTTTGCTTGGGGGAGAGGGACTGAATGCGGTAGAGTTTTGGTGGTGTACTTTAGACGGCTGGTTCGCTTGGTGGGGGGGAGTGGATGAGTGAGTGGGTGAGTGGGCGTGGCAGTGGCAATGGCAGTGGCAGTACTCGCTAGTACTCGTCGCTACGACTGTTAGCTACCACGGGCAGTTTCGAGTCTGAAGCAGACGTAGGCGTACGTACGCGCAGGAGGGCAAGGCAAGCAGGCACTGACTGGCACTCTAAAGGTGAGGATATTAGCGATATGCCGCTATGCGCGAATCATCGAGGGAAGAGCAGTGGCAGGGCTGTTGACCAACCTACGGGCTCTGGGAGTACAGCTAGCACGCAGTACACGACTACACGTCGCTACGTACGGTGGAAGGCAGAGAATGCTCGGGGCAGACGATCTCTGCTGCCGGAGGTTATTTAGCTACAGCAAGGCCAGGCAGGATAAAGTCTGGGGCTGATGTGCGATATGCGATATGCGTACTGGTGGAGGGCCTCTGGAGGATGCTGGTATCTGTATCCTGTACGAGTATGCCGGCACGCTGGATGTACGGTGCTGCCGTAGCTTAGCTGTAGCTGTAGCTGTACTGTAGCTGTAGGTCGGCTGTAGGTCTGACGCGCGATGCAGCCTCTCTCTGAATGGTGAAGTCAATTGAGCGTTGCCGGTGCGGGTGCGGTTCGCTGTGCTGCGCTGCGCTGCGGAGAATTCGATTCACGGTGGGTGTTTTTCGGTCTTCACTTTCGAGCAAGAATGGAGCAACTTGTTTGGTGCTTCAGCTTCGATGTGGGGGAAGGTCGTAACGACGCGATCACTTTTAGGTTGGCAGGAACAAGGAAGTGCGAGTGCCAGTGCAGTGTCAGTGCCGGGCTAGCGGTGAAAGCTGGAGCTTCTCTAACAAGTCCGTGGGTTGGGAGGGGAAGGGAAGCGATGTTGACAAGGGCAGAACATCAACATCAACACCACAACTACAATTCCTCAGGGCGGACCATTTACTACTACTACCATAACAAGAACATGGTAAAATAAATACGGCCTCTGCCGCCTCAGATTTGCCCATCCCTACAATCATCAACTTTGCACGATCGCACACTCTCGGAGAGGCAGTTCTATCCATAGCCAATGGCCATTCTTCCGCTACGCGCCAATAGCGAAAATGATGCTCAAAACGGCCGCAACTCGGTCTACTGTTGGTGGAAGCCAGAAAAGGCACCACGTAGCCTACCAATCACAAGATGAGTGTGGGTGGAAGTCAGCCATCGTCAGCCTGTCAGCGTTCATTCATCCGGAAGAAATGGGAAAAGCGGTACACGCAGGAGCTGATCCAACCAACGGCCAGGGCAAGACAAGATATGAGGCGGTATGAGTACCTACAGAGAACCTTCTTTATCCTTACCCCTCTGAGATCTGTGACGGCGCCCTTCCACATACAACTTCCTCTAGAAGGATGGAAACTCAACCTTGGCCGACCTTCGCAGCAGAATTACATACATTACTGCCTAATACACTCACACGACGAACTTTCCTTCCTTTTTGCTGCATCAGCTTTTCCCGCACTTTGCCTTGCGAGAGATGAGTTGGCAGTTCCATGGTGGTGGCATGGTTGACGTGATGCCATTCCTGAACCGCCAAAAGTCAATTCAAAGCCGGTGGAAAGTTTCAGGCCTGGAACGCTGCCCCTTTTATCAAGTGACTGGTCGCATTTGACTTTCTCCTGGAATCTTCCATCGTCTCTTCTATCATCCCAAGAGCTCGAGTCTTCGAGTCGGCACACCAATCACCAAAAATTGTAGTTTCCAGCAGCTTGTTCTCACCCCCACCACACATCTGCATATGCAGGGTTGCCGTACGCCTAACAAAGAGTGGCCAACACATCGCCCTCCAAATGCGAACTGAGTCTGAAAGCAAGGGCTCAGGGCCCTCCTGGATCACAGCCTTTCGTGATAGGGCATCATTACATGAGTCCAGGCTTCCTGTTGGGCACCGAAACGCAGCATCCGCTTTGAAGGGGGGGTACATCGAGCCTTACATTTGCGGACAGTGCCTTGCTGTACAACGCATCATTTTCCGGGATACTGGATATCATATGATGGAAATGTGAGTAAATGTGACGTCGTACAAAACTCGTGATATAAAATGATGCCTAGAAATACCTAAGGTAAGGCACTCGAGACGTTGCGTAACCTGCCCTCGCAGCAACATTGTATTCACATATTTGGGCAGAAAGATTGATAATGCTGTGTCCGGCTGTCACCTCAGACTTCCCCGGTCGGAAACTTGGTATGGAATAGATTGTTTTTGCATATCAGCAATCTCTTGAATTTAGACCGCTCTGTTGCTCCAAATTCCAGACTTTCCAGTCTGCCATGACCCATTGACGTGATGCCGAGCTTCGATATTTGCAAGCCTTGCTGATGTTGTAGCGGTGACTTGTCCACATGCAAGGACCTTTTTCGACCTGCATGTTACCTCAGCCCTAGCCTAGACTGTAATGTTCTCCCTTCTTGATACCGACCCCGTGATCCAAGTCTACTGCTGGGCAACGACTTGAATATTGTTCTTTTTCTGCAAGCAAGTCATTAGCACTGAGCATAGTGGGGCCTCCTACCATCGCTTGAGTCTCATCCCGCGAGCAAACAATACCAAAGTCCCCTCTCGCAAACAAAGCAAGAACCAGAACCAGAAACCAGAGACCAGAAACACACAGTACATGAAACATACCTTCCAATTCTCCATCTCCACATTCTTACTTCTGTAACTCTTCATCAACTCCTCCAGCACCTTCTTTAACCCCTCGCTATTGGTCTGCAGGGCCGGGATGACATCCTTCACAGTTCTCTCCACCAAGACCCCATTAATCATGCGAAAGCATTTCCTCTCTTCCGGCAGCGGAGTTAGAGTCTCCAAGACCAATCTGTACGTATCCCAAAATAAAAAGTCAGCACTGACCTATGCAAAGCGTTCCAGGTTCCTCGTTGGTCCAAAAGTCGGTGAGGGCCAACGAATGGTATTGAGCGGTGTACATGTACAAGCAAGGCAAGGAAGAAGAAAATCGTGTAGATGTGAGGGACGGGATGTTCAGGTAGCAAAGTGGAAGACTCCGATTCCAAGGTCCTGGAATTGGGTAAAATGGGTCCGCAGATGCGATGGGATGGAGCACTTGGTGTTTTGCGTGGGAAGGGAGGGATTGCAGGAGAAAGAGGATACGGACCGGTGTTCTTCGGCTTCGGTCTCGACGTCACCGATTTTGGAGGCGATTTGTTGGAGGTTGGTTTTGTATTGTTCGTATTGCTGTTGTAGCTCTGTGATGCCCCGCGATGATTGTCAGCTACCTTTCTTTTGGTTTTGAGTTTGGATGTAATTCGTCTTCTTCCTAGGGGCTTTTGAAAGATGGGTAAGGAAGCGTACCTTGTTGCTTTCGCTGGGAAACTTGTTGTGCCATCGTGGTGATCGACTGTGTTGTAGCTCTGGATGGTGAGGCTGTGAGATAGCTTGAGGTGGGAGAGCGAGCCTTGATAAATTTCAAGGTCAGGGTCGGTGGAGAGCCGTGGTTTTGCCGATTGAATGAACCCGATTTCTCAAATCCGATGACGAGGGCACATCAAGCGCAAGCTCTCACTCAAAGCCTACGACTTCCAGAATATCCAGATCTCAGGTCGCCCAACATGCATCCCCATCTGCATACAAAAGACAATACAGGTTTGTCCATCCCTACTCCTTTCTCCCAGCATACTTCTTCAAATTTCCTCCTCTGCCCCATCGCATGATTTCTAGACTAACATGATCTTCCCAGCATGCGCAGAAGTCATGGATGCCCTCGATGAATGCCACGCACGCGGTTTTCTGTGGAAATCGATGGGGATGTGCAATTCTGCCAAAACTGCCGTCAATAAATGCCTCCGCGCGCAACGATTAGAGAGGACGAGAATCAACCGGGAGAAGGCAAAGGAGAAGAACAAGGAAATTCGCGAGAAGTGGAAGGAAATTGATGCAAACTCTTGAAGCAGTATATTGCGTCTTGATTGGAATGTTCGTGTTCGCGATTGTGAAAGGAAATGTGTACAACCATGCATGGAGAGGTGGCAAAAGGTTGATGGGAGGCAAATGGGTGGAAATCGACTACGGGAGGAAGCACGTATAACGGCGTATATGATACTATGGAGAGTGTATGAAATGAAGAGGGCAGGAGTTATTGCGATATTTGGTATCACGGCATTTCAAGGGAGTTTTTGGTCATCATGCCACTTGGTGTATACCCTTTTCGAGAAGGGAGGCGTTGGGGGGGGCATGTAGAAACACGGAGTCAATGGCCAAAATCAACACCATTCCAGTATATATCACATGGGTACACTTCTGAGATTTAGTTGTCAAAGAGGGCTCTCATTCCGCTCCGTATTTGGTCTTCGAAGCTTTCAATCCAGTACATGCAACAATTCCATTATGAACTCCCAAACCAGCCCATCCATATTCCCATTATTGTATTTCCATATTCGTCTACTTCTTCAAGCGATAGGCATTTCCAAAGGTGTACAGGCCATAAAGAGCTAAAACGCTCAATCCAGCTGGCAATGGCTTTTGGCTTCTCAAGGCTCGTGGGATGGAACTTCCTGCTAGGACGATTGAGGCGAGAAGCGCGAGTTCAACACCATAGGTTTGTCTGTTTTGGATGCGGTAGCCACCAAGAAGATACTGGTTTGTCTGTATTAGTGACGGGAATGCGACCAAGGGCAGGAGCTGTAAGGCGAAATGCTAAACGGGAATAGAGGATTATCATACCAACGTGCCAACAGTCAAACCAGCCGCAATGGATGGGATAGAGCCAGACTTCAAGTATCCGAAAGTTCCGCCTCCAGCAGTGAGCGCTCCAATGATGTAAGCTGGTGTTTCGATTCCCTAGATTGATAATCAGCTTCCATCACAGAAAAGCTGCGCATTCCCTTCATGAAATTACCATTTTGAGATTGTTATTAGTCTAACGCTGTGTTTGGAATTGGATTGAGGGTTGGTATGGAAGTAGAGTACACAAGATTGGTGTGATGTTGTAGATGTAAGTTGTCGTTACAAGGGAGCAGCTATCCATATAGGTACACAGCTGTGTACCCCTCGTCATGCCGATTTCGGGCCGATGTTCAAGGTCCGATACATCCTGGGATGGATTACCCAGTGGAAATGCTTCAATTTGTCAAAGGGCGTTTCTCCAACTTAACAACACCATCAGTGCCATCACGTTGCCAAATGCTATTGATTAATTCGCCTCAAATTTTTCATGTTGATACAAAGATGGCGGCAACGGCGGCGACATTAATATTTGATTTTCTCATGTCTTTCACGTGGTTTCCTTTCTTGCGCAGTTTAGCGATGTGTTGATATTGTTCTTCAATTCAAAGCCCAGCCAATACCCATTTTGTCGGTATCGGTTAATTGGAAATTTCTCAATCAGGAACGCAGGTATGAACGCCATGTTCTTCTATCATATTGTTCATGTGGGGTCTTCCTCTCGGATAAGTTACAGCCCAGTGGTTTCATTGTTCCTTACGATTGTTCGCTAGGAATGTCTTGGGTACCTAGGTACCTGAAGTCACTAATCTTCCAATGTTTTAAGAATCGTTATAGAACTTTCCAATCCTTCCTTTTTTCTTCTTCTTACCTTATCTTGTTTTAAACAGGCTTCCTCACAATGCTTTTCAATCTTATTCCTATCATACTTGGCTTCAGCCTTTTCGCTCTGCCTGGGGTTTTTGCACATCCGGCAACAGTTGTGATTGGAGAGGAGGCAGAACCACACTTGAGAGGGAGACGATCGTTTTATAGGAGGGATGGTGTTGAGCATACGGTTTTTGAACATGATGCTACTAAATCCAAGATTGACTTTGTTACCAATTCCGGGGTTTGCGAGACTACGAAAGGAGTTAATCAGTACTCGGGATATGTTACGGTTGGAAGCGAGTTGCCTTTGGGTTTCTAGAGGATTTGTTTACTAGTTCGTTCGCAGATAATCAGAGTATGTGGTTCTGGTTTTTCGAGGCCAGAAATAAACCCAAGAAGGCACCATTGACTTTATGGATAAATGGTGGTCCTGGTTCCAGCAGTATGTTTGGGCTGTTCAGAGTAAGAACATCATTCGCCGTTATCTAAAGGTCACTTCAGCTAATATCCTGTCACAAGGAAAATGGACCCTGTCTATTCGTTGGGGACTCTCCCGTACCAACACGCAATCCATACAGCTGGAACGAATACTCCAACATGCTCTATGTTGACCAACCAATTAGCGTTGGGTTCTCATATGGAACCAATGATGTCTCATCTTCCGTGAAGCAGCCCCAGCAGTATGGACATTGCTTCAAGCTTTCTTCGCCAACTTCCCTCGTTACGAGGGAAGAGACTTTGGCCTATTTACTGAGAGTTATGGTGGGCACTATGGTCCTGGTAATTTTCCCTTTCGATGCCTAGATGTGTAGGGGACTTCCAGCTGACTAGCAGAGCAGCATTCTCAGACTACTTCAACTCACAAAACGAAGCTATCAAGAAGAAGAAGGTAAAAGGAGAAAAGATAAAACTCATCGCCCTAGGCATAAACAATGGCTTTATGACGGTATCTCCGCGTTTATCAACTCTCCTTCTTTCTTTGTGAACAACTCCTATCGCCCACTAATGAGCGAATCGCTCGCTCAAAGCGAGATCCAAGCAATGAAGACACGATGTGCACCTGAAGTCAAGAAATGTGATACTCTCGTGGGAAAGGAAGCCATATGTAATAATGCTCAGGCAGTCTGCGAGGGCATAGATGGAAACGAGTTCTACCCAATTTATTCGAAGTCCAACTTTGCGCTCTACGACATTCGCATACCAGCGCCTGGGGCATTCAGAAGCGAGACGGCCTATATCGATTACTTGAATGACCCGGCGATAAAGAGAAAGATTGGCGCAAAGAGCAACTTCGTCCAAGACTCGGATGAGACATATGGGCTTTTCTATGCGAATGGCGATGGTAAATTTCTTCCCTCTTCCACAGGTTACATTGATTTCTCATTATACTAACCCACAGCGGCACGCTCTTTCATTCCCACCCTCTCTTCCCTCGTCTCCTCCGGTCTCCCCGTCTTAATCTGGAACGGTGATGCGGATGCACTCTGCGACTGGTTCACCAACTACGCTGTGACGACTCAAATTTCATATCCTGATGCTGCGAAGTATAAAAAGACCAAGGTGGCGCCATACAAGACGAACGGAGTCGTGAAGGGCGAGTTCAAAAGCGTGGGGAAGTTGAGTTGGTTGAGGGTCTTTGAGGCAGGCCATCCAATACCTTATGACCAGCCGGAATTGGCCTTACAAGCCTTTAGTCAGTTCATGGAGAAAGGGAAGCTTTGGTCTACTTGATTATTTTGTGATGGAGATGGAAACCATAGGTGTCGGAGTCGAGAACTGGGTGTCTTTGTTGGGAGAGTGGGAATTGAATACACAATCCTAGACTAAAGCTGGTCATGACCCATTACTTAATTAGTGATCATCTGGGTGTGGTACTCTGTCTTTCGCTGTCTCATTTGACAGGGGGGTTCTTTGGGAAAATGTAGATCTTGACTGATGTTCATGTTCAAGCTTTTAGAATAAATAACTCGTAATGTGTGCTCCTTTGTAATAGGAATGTAATCCTTGGGCTAAAAAGGTCAGAAAGTTTAGACGAAGGTAAGTACTCTTTGTCTTACTCTTGTATTAATTATGGTCTTTGGTATAAGTGTACCTAAAGATGAACTACTATATGTGTACACGCGAAGGAACCTTTCCTGGTGTTTCGCCTTGATTGTTAGGTACTTCTAATAAATGTTGAAGTAGAAGTATTCACCTCTAGAATAGCTCCCAGGAATCCTGAAATTTTACATGGAGAATATTATTAGGAAAGGACTACAGAGTATTGAGGTTTGGTGAAATGATTTATTTGTCTAAGTAAGAGCGGGGTGTCTTAATAGTGAAGTGATTTTCTGCTAGTAAAATCCTTCGAATTTGTTAAAGCTAGAGTTTTGTTTTGTTTTTGTTTCGCTAGAGTGAGTTTAGATAGAGTTTAATGGTTTTATGGTTCTTGGGTTAGAGTTTAGAAGGAGTATATTACGTATTCTTATTACTAAATAAAGGTATAATAACGCTGTTATCGAAGACTTCTGGAAAATTATAGATTTATTCTCCGATAAGGATGTTATAATTGAAATCTTTCGACGTAATATGTCTTATATTAATTATTCTTTTAGTTTTATTTTGTTTTAAAGGTTTAGGATAATATAATAACATGTATATAATTCTATTTTAGTTTATTTCTTTTAACAACTTATTGTTTTATATTTTTTAGAAACAGTTATAGAAATAAAAATAATAAATTATTTTTTATCATAAGAAGTCTTTTACGCTTTGGATTTTCTTAATATGAAAATGTCTTAAAGTTATTTATAATTAGCCTTAAAGTATATAAAAATTAGTTCCTTATACTAATATAGTAGCAGACTAAATCCAAGACGTGGTTAGCTATAGTTTTCAATACTTTGTAAAATGATCGATTCCTTTATAGGTCGATTACTAATTTCAGTTCCCACATTTCACTTACAAATACTGGATGTTTAATATATGAGTATATTCTAGATATCCTAAGGCCAACTAGTCCTAGAATACCAAACTCCCCTCCCCTGATCACCCTCAAAAAAGCTAACCCCCAAAAGTCCAACCCCTCACATCTCCCTTAACCCTCATATCTTTCCCCAGTGCGCAAATAATGCAACACATCTCTCTCCCAAAACGGGCGCATCTTATAATCACCCAGTTTCTCCGGCATCGAGACAATTGCCTCGGCAAGCTTGATTCCATTCCCTTCCTTCACAATGTCGTGTAGCGAGGTCATGTATGAGCGCACGCAGAAAACAATCGCTTGGCTCCGCCTCAACTTCTTGAGGGTTTGGCGCTCGCAGCGAAGGTAGGATTGATCGAGATCGATGGCTTTAGAACGGTCGGGTAGTGTGTGGCCTTTTTCGGGGTAGAAGTTGTTGCCGTCTAGTCGGAAGAGGTCTTTGCCGTCGCATTGGAGACTCCACTGTTTATTGTTAGCGTATATGTGTGATATGGAGGGTTAAGGTAGGCAAAAATAACGGTTGGAGATAGCCTGAATATGAAATAATGCTAGTACGCCATCTTTGACGTTCAGCGTAGGTGTGGGGATACGGAACTTACATTAAAACGCTGAATCAACTCGCCCGGCTTCATTCTCTGAACGAATTTATCAACTCCCTTCCCAATCCTCTCATTATACCCAGGAACCGGCTGATGAATCTCACAAAACGACTCTCCCACCCGCTGAGGACTAAAGAAGCCCCCAGGAAAACAAGCGATATACCCCTGAAACCTCCACTCGCCCTTCCCATCAGGAACCATGAAATAAAAATCCTCTTCGACATTTTCGCACAGGATACGCAAAGCGATATCGGCGTCTTGAAGTCCATCCAGAATGTTGTATTCTTTCCCCGTAGCGAGATTCTTGAAGGTGCTGTTTTCGAGCTTGAACATGGTGGGGAAGCGATGGGGGATGTGGCGAATGATCACTTCGATGAAGAGCTCGATGATTGCGGCTCTGGAGTGCGATTTCACGCCGACTGCGTCTTTGGCGTGGTCTTGGAGGGTTTGAGAGCGTTCTTGGAGGCGATTGAGATAACCGCTGTCGATTTGGATCCAGTCGTTGTGAAGACAAGTATCAATGCCTGCAAAGTTGTTAGAAAGTCGTCCTATTTTACTTCATATATGTGGTGTCTTGACTTACCCATCGCAACATGCTTAGGGGCAGGCAAAAAAGGACGATAGGGGCGAATTGGCGCGTTGCGAAAGTCAAAGTGCAAAAGCTCTTCAACAAAATCGCCGTCGATATCTGTTGGGAAAGAAGAAGGGAAGCGTAATTGTCGCAATCCAAAGGAAGAGATGCCTGCTACTGATCTCTTATTTCTGGGAACGTAAGCGAGGATAATGAGGTAGGTGCCGAGGGTGATGCCAGCTAAGGTGAAGACAACGCCAGTAACAAGCGAGGCCAAGTTTGTAGTATCCATTGTGGTATCTATTGTGGTAATCGTTTAGTAAGTCTAGTTTTGAGAGAGTATAGCGGAGTCTATTTCTAGGAAGGAGAGGGAAAGGAGGGTATCTTGTGGCCTTCTTTGTTGGTGTTAATAGTGGTGGAAGAAATTAACGAGATTAAGCGAGTGTTGTCTTGACCTTTAAATACTCTGAAGGTCCTTGTTACGGCTAGTGTGGATCGAATTCTCAGAGAGTTATTTTATTAACCATCCAAAGAGGGCTGAAACAGTAAGGTGTGGGAATCAAACTTCTGTCGTCTGTCTGACTTTCTCTTTTATATAAACACATTCCCTTTCACCTGGCCTGATAAGGGTGATTCAAGCCAGCACAGCCTGTCTTGACAGCTATTGCAACTTCGTGATATATCGCCAATACGATCACTCAGAAAATTAGGTTTTGATATACAGACGTTGGTGGCGTAACACAGAACTTGTATGTCGTTTCTAGATTTACTCAACTACAACACTTCAAGTGACACCATGTTCTTTCTTTCTCACATACAGAATGTCAAATAAGCGAGTCATTTAGCCATTAGTCAACCGACATAACTTAGCGAGTAGGTTTACATGTAAGTACAATGCTGACTGGCTTTTGAGTCGCTAATAAGCGAAGAATTTTGTTTCAGTAATAAGATGAGCGCACCAATAACAAGTTGGTCCGTAGTGTTAAGTATTCCTTCTTAGCTTTTACAGCACTTGGCATATACTGTCTTAAGTATTTACCTTGTGCGTCAATAAATAGTTGGAAGATAAGCGAATACTGTGACTATTCTGGTAATTGTGGATGAAGTAGTTAATGGACAGCTTCATAAAAGCCAACTCTACACTAATTTATGAGCCAACAAAAGGCTACAGATGTCTTGCTAAACCTTAGCCATAGCCCCTTGGCTTCCTGGAAATGATCTGAATGCACATGCTGTAGAAAAAATCCGTAAATACACTTTGGCCTATGGGCGTGAGTGATTAGAAGTAAAAATCATATGATAAAGACGGTCAGACCCTTTTTGTCTCTACACCTCTGACGACACACAAATAATCCTTGGTTTGCTTGTGCAGTCACTGCCTACGAAGTACTATATCACAGGCGTAAGCAATATTAATATTCAGTGGAGTATTTACCCTGTATCCCAGTGAAAATTTTCGTATCCCCTCAGCTGCGGCCAGGAACGCACTTGTGTAGTCCGTGCCTAGGGAAGAACATTAACTTTCTAAATAGCTACAACTATAATTTATTCTACTTCTATAATTTAGAAGACTATATAATTAGAGGGCATATCTCTAGGGACTTCCTATCTTTATATTTTGCTGTTATTATAGCCCGAAATACCCTAGAATTCTCTAAGAATTGTACTAAATCTACGCTACAAAGATCATGCTCTAGAAAAGGCTATAGTAGGCCTAATTACTATTAGTAACTTAAGATGAAGTACGAGCAGTATACCAATACTCGGCTATAATATTTATAACGTCCGGTTACACAGAAAATGGTCGTTATCCTAAGTTTTTATTAAATATAGTCCATTTTCTAGCCAAAAGTAATAGATCGCTTAACTAAGCTCGGACCAGTGCGTTTCTGGCCGCAGCTGAGGGGATAAACCCACTAACTGCTAAACGTTTGTTATGCCTGGGACGATGTACACGTATACTCCGCTGGCAAGGACCCGCTTATTCGGCCTCATATCATATCATCATATGTTTTGTATGATCGTGGAATAGAGCATGAGCACAATGTCCTTGTTAATTTATACCAGAGAAGCCCAATCGAGGATTTAGGGCCGGAACCCTTCCCTTCTTAGAAATGATCGGGTTTAGGGGATCGAGTTAGTCAATAAGGTTACCGAATCAAAGTCCGAAAAACAGCGGCATTGAAAGCTTTGCTTCCCATCCCCACAACTTCCGGAGTCTGGGCAAGCTATCAACACGAGGTCTTGCAGGGTGCGTGATATATATAGATACGAGAGTCGAGTACAAAATGGCTCGCTATCCTCCCTTCGAAGAGGTATCCCGCACCAGCATCCGCAGTCATTCGTTTCAGCAAGATGAAGTCTTTTTCGTGGTTGTTTTTCGCGCTCCCGGCTGCGGCTCAGTATCCCGTTTTGAACGACTCGGCATGGGCAGGGCCGGCGATGCAGCGCGATAGCAAATCTACCTCAACGCCTGCCAACTTCACATCCGCCTCAGGAACATTAATTGTCCCGTCGCTGAGTATTCCTGAGCGTCCAAAGGAGGTTGCTGACCAGTACTCCGTCTCGTTCTGGGTTGGAATGGAGGGGGTGCCCGAGAACAATGCCCCCTTTGCTCGCGGTTTGTGGCAGGCGGGTATTCAAGGAAATATCTATGTCAACGGTACTAAGACATACATACCCTGGTATGAATGGTACGTCTTACTACGCCTTTCGCTTCAATTTGAAAACGTCGAATGCTAATATGGAGGTGCCAATAGGATTCCCGAAGACCCCGTCCGGCTCCCCGCCAGCGACTTAGTCATGAACGAGGGCGACCATATCTACATCAACGTCTCAACCGCAGATTTGGGGTACACTGGTACCATCGTTCTCACCAACCTCAACACCACCCAAGAATGGACCATCACTCGTCCATCCCCAGTCACGCCTCGTGGCCCAACATGGCATGCGCCCGGTTGGTCGGCGGAGTGGATCGCAGAAGCTGCAACTTATGGACCAGAAACTATGTACAGGAAGTATATCTTGGCGGATTTCGGAAATGCTACTTTCTTGGATCCAAAGGTGTGCAGGACGGATAACGTCTGTCTTGGTCCCGAGGGACAGAATACGACGATTTGGGACCTCGTGGATGATAAATTGTATTCTCGAACTTCTGTTGGGAAGGATGTTACGATCGAGTATCTTGAAGTAGACCTATGATGAGGAACGAGCTTACGTACGAATCTACGGCAAGGAACTAGCAGACGGCCATTTAACCATACCTCGAAAGTATTCAAAAGAACTAGCGTGGTCTCTTTTGAGGACGGAAGAATGTGGTAGTTCTCTGCCTGGCAGATATCAATCAAATGCCAGATTTCGAAGATGACAATTCATGAATGTTAACGAACCTTATCCTCATTGACGAAATGTTTATGTGTGATCTCCATAGTACATAGTACCTCATTTAGACATATCATTCAAATCTATGTTCAATTTGTTACTTTTTTCCCTGGTCTCCGTTATTCTTCAAAGTAGATAACCTACCACGCGCCTACTCAGATCGACCTGTGCCTTTCTCACCTGCAACCCCAAGTTCTAAAAACATCAAACACAACAAAACCACATTTTTAAACCTAGTATCGTTTGGCTTTGCTTAGATCAAATTCTATAAGAAGTTATTGCAATCATTGGGAACAATCTCCGTAATCGAAATACGCTAGAATAAAGAATCTTAGTAACTCAGACAATCGATCCCCCTCCTCTGGAATGGGGTGAAAAGAGGGTGAAAAATTATTTAAAGAATAATGTCCTATAAACAACATATGAGCTAGGGAGGAGTTTCATAAACGTGAAGCAAGAAGCACTCATACTATCTACATCAATGATCAACCTAAGAATCTATTGCCGTAATAAATCGTCCTTACAAGAAATGCTTATGTGGGCGAGTGGAGTACAGAGCAGTGTCGACTAGAGGCTCCTACTTCCTACTCGCTAGGATCCCTCTTCTCATGCACAGAAGATTATGATGAGCGGGATTTTCTTCTTGTCGGACATTTCTACCCAGGGACCCGTGGGCCGGACGAAGTTGTTCTCTAAATAGCCCGAAAAGTCTTGCCAGCTTCTCTGTACTCCACCCTTCCTCCCACCCTAGCATTCCTTATAATTGTAGGATTTTTCGACCCTACTTCCAGGGAGGTCTCGGCCCTTTAGTAGGGCTCATCAAAACGGCCATTCCTCATCAAAACGGCTACTTTTCTCATAGGGCTTGATAAGCCTGTACCTTCGCCCGGGCGTAATATTAGGTGTCGCAATAAGTACTATCTGGTCAAAATTAATGAAGTACTTAAATAAAGCTATTTATATTTATAAACTAAATATATTAAATTATTACTTTTATTTTCTATTATCTTTTAAATAATAAATAATATAAATTTAACGGTAATTAACTAAGATACCCCTTAGTTTATTATAAATACCTGAGTGTAACGAATACTCAAACTGGCTAACTAAACTTGGCTGGGTGTTCGCTGGTTGGTATGCTATGATAAGAAGAAGACTATCGGGTTGTTCACTTGGAAGAGAACTCGTTACTTGTATCAAAGATGTCAAACTAATATGATAAGATTGATAACTAAGTTGATAACTAAGTTGAGCACGAAGCTCCTATCTAATGGCAGACGTGCCAGTCTTATATAGAACCTTCATCCTCATGATCGCTGCTGGTCGCCGCGACCAAACGACCATTACTGGTCACGTGATATAATTGCTATGAAATCCCTGGATCGCTTAGCTAACCTAAGCATCCCTATCTGCTATAAGTATTCTGGTAGTGCTTGACCTGTCAGGACGCCGCCTGGTCTTCGCTAACCACGTGCTAACACGTGATTCGTGACACTGAGATACCCCTTAATAAATAGGCGTATAACTAAGATACCCCTTAAAATATACCCCTTAATTATGGGCGAGAAACAAGGGTATCTTAGTTATAAAACAGAGGTATCTTAGTTAATTATATAGTGAATTTCGTAAAAGTACTATAAGTAATTAAGGTAAATTAAATAGTATTATACCTTAAGGTCTCTATTTACCTATGAGTTTTACCCCGCGTTACTAGTATATACTAGTACTTACCTAATACTTAGGTTTACGTAGAAGGTAGAGAATATATTATTTTTAGGTTAAATAGCCCCTAAGGTACTTGTAAGGCTATTTATACCTTAATAAGTAGAGCCTAGGCTACTAAGCGCTTAATTAAGGTCTATCTTACTATTTAAAACTAGTAGCTAGCTTAGGAATAATAGAGGGTTAATAAGAAACTACTCTTTATAAGCTTATAATAATAATTAGTAGATTTATTATTATTATAAATAAGTAATTAAGTAGATTAAACGATATATATAAACTTACTTAGTTACCTTTAATATATAAAATATATCCTTTACTAATCCTTAGGTTTATATAAGAGGTAGAGGATATATTATTTTTAGGTTAAATAGCCCCTAGGGTACTTATAAGGCTATTTATACCTTAATAAGTAGAGTCTAGGCTACTAGATAAAGGCTATACCTGTGACGGTTCTCACCGCCACCACGCTACAGACCAGCCCTGGCTGGAACCCGGCGGCCACCATGCGTCAAACGAGTGTCACAAATCACGTGCTAGCACGTGAGGAGTTAGTCCAGACGGGGTTCTGACAGGACACACATCATGGCTCTTATAGCAAAAAGGGATCGCTTAGGTTAGTTAAGCGATCCAGGAATTTCTTTGTATACAAGTCACGTGATATATGCAGGTCGACTTCTCGCCTGGTCGAGAAGTCGATTATCGACTATGTCGACAGTCGACATTGTCGACTTCAGGAACACGAAGGTTCTATATAAGACTGGCACGTCTGCCATTAGATAGGAGCTTCGTGCTCAACTTAGTTATCAATCTTATCATANCTTCGTGCTCAACTTAGTTATCAACTTAGTTATCAATCTTATCATATTAGTTTGACATCTTTGATACAAGTAACGAGTTCTCTTCCAAGTGAACAACCCGATAGTCTTCTTCTTATCATAGCATACCAACCAGCGAACACCCAGCCAAGTTTAGTTAGCCAGTTTGAGTATTCGTTACATTATACTTAAATGATTTATATTAAGGCTAGTAATCCCCTAGTCGACTAAGATCCTAATATTTACTACTATACCTTTAAGCGGGTTAAGAACCTAGATATATACTATTAGTATAGGAAAGTACGGTTCGCGTATATAGATAAGCTATATAGGAGCCGCTAATTTAGGCTCTTACTACAAGATACCCCTAGGACTTAATATAGGTATATCGAGTATAAGAAGTACCTTTAATTCGAAAAAGTACTAGAATACATTCTATATATACGAAGTAGTTCTAGATATAGAGTTTTATACTATTATTAGAGAACGTAAGGAAGTAAGCATAATATATATAAGATAGATATTATTATTTATAGTATTATTATATTTATAATTAAATTATTTACTTTTAAATAGTATTTATACTTCTAATAAGGTATAGAGTTTTAATGCTTAGTACGTCCTAATTAGGTTTAGCGGCGCTATAGCTCGCTTAAAACCCTATACTAAGCCTAGGCGCTGTATATATTACGTACGGAGGGATAGTACGATATTAAATAAGTAGAGTTTTGTCAGGACTTGTAGCAAATGCTGATGAATTGAACTACAGAGGTTGTCTATGTACAAGAAGATTCGATTGTCCTTCCCAAAGCAGCTTCCCAGCCCTCTCTATATACCACAGAACTGGCTACGTGTCCTTTACCAATACTCTAGAAGGTTCCACCAAGTCTGCTTAGAGGTCACGTGCACATGTCGCTGGAGCACTCCAAGACTCACTCCACGGGTGCAACCCTTGACAAGTTTAGTCGGTTAGTAGTACCTACTCAGCTACTTAACTCTACTTAATGACTTGGTGCCAAGTACTTCAGTAATTCAACTTGAAAGGTCTAAGAGCAAGTTCGTCCAAGTCGTCGAAGCACGTCGCTTATCTAGCGACGTCTACTTACCTCCGTAGAATAAAATATATACGGAGTATGGCCGCTGCCCCCTGTCCCAACTTCCGTACCTAACTACACCCAAAATAACCAAACAGGGGAAATCTTAATTCGTAGCTATTATACTGGTGCTACCACTTTTAAGCGGGATTTTGGCTTTGGAAAGTAGGTAGCGTACTAGAGGTATAGAGTACTCGAGCGGAAGTGGACCTGGAGTATTGTACAAGGAACATTGATTTGTAGGTGGTCTGGTTTGTAGATTGTCTGATTTGTAGTTTGTCTGATTGGGTATAGTAGAGTAGAGTAGAGTAGAGTAGAGTAGAGTGGGGTTAGGCGTACTATAACGCTTCATGTTGATATACCATTTGGGTATTTTCATCCCAATCCTGATTGTACATGTTTTGTACAGGACAAATCAAGTCTGTCAAAATTTGAAGGCTCTGGTGTCCCTACTTGTTGTATACTGCCAGGAACTCCGTGGTATATATACCCAAAAGGCTCTTCGGCAATACGCCGACCTGCATTCATGCCAAATAACTGGATCGAGTCCAACAAAGCGCCCGTAATATTCTTACAGCTCTGAGCCTCCCCACACTCAAAGAGTTTCCCCAGCTCCATGGAACCATAACCGTTTATTATGACCCTTTCTTGGCCTCGTCATGCGGGGTATTTTTGTCGTTGACCAATCCTAGGACTTCTTCTCCCCAGCTTTTCCATGATCCAAATCATTCAATCTACGTCGCTCCATCTGATGGTTTCGCAGACTCATCCAGAATCCTCGCATTCGACGTCCCATCTTCCCAGAACTCCACATCCCCATCATTACTCAGGGTACCTTTTTTCACAATCATTCCCCTCTCCCGCATCAGGTCTTCAATCGTAATACTCTTATCTCCAAAGATCTATTCCCATTGATCAGTACTTACACTAAACCAAAGCGAGGATGGGACGCATACATTCAAATGGTCACTAATAATATGACGATTCTTACATTCCGGACATGTTATTAACACACTGCCGTGATGATAGCCTTGCTTGGAGACGGAATGGGTGGATCGCGTGGAGCACGGGATGCATGTGAATGTCAGTTCGTAGGTTGGCTTGGAGGGTGGTGGTGCTTTTGGCGGGACTCTTTCTTGCGGGCGCGGGATTGTGGTTGCGCGACGTGGTGGTGGTGATTGTGGTTGTGAGGGAGTGTCTTGCTGTGAATAGAAGCGGGAGGTGGAGAATGGTGCGAGGGCTCTTTGGTGGTTGGTTGGTAGTCGAGGATTAGTGGCCCTTCGCGACACAGCCCGAATGGTAGAGAAGAGGTTTGATGGTGGCATGCTTGAGATGTGGTTGTTTCTAGAATTCCATTCTTCGAAAATCTTCGAGATCCTCGATACTGCATTGCGACAGGGACTTGGGGTCGGTTTAAAGGGATCAGGAGTGGGTTTATCTTACAAGGCAGGGATTTAGCTTCTTAGATAGCCGAGGTTCAACCGCACCGCAAGCCATCATCGGCGCTTCGATTCACTCGACATATAAATTCAGATACAGAAACAAACCACAATCTTGAGTCCGCGGGCCAACGACACAGAACTTACCAACATTGAACATTCGCAATTCGCGAGCAAGTGAATCATTCTCTTCTATTGTGTCCAGCTTTTGTTCTCTCCTTGCGACGGGTCCAAGGTCTCTTCCTGCAAGACATTACACCTACAGATACTCGCAGCCATTTGTTCCCCACCCCCACCAAACCGACAACTGCAACTCTCGATCTCTACTCGGCGCCCACGCTCTTTCGATCTGCTGCTCACCACTTCGCCCGAATTGGCAGAAATACTTTCTCGGTTCTCTCACACTCTCTTACATTCGCGCATCCACGCGCTCCAAGCAATTCAAGATGCTTCATGGCGCAGGTCGTGGTCGCGGGAAGATTCGCCCGCCTCGTCGAGTAAGTAGCAGTTATGTCTTCCTTCACCTTCACCTTCACCTTCACCTTCAACCAACCCCCCTTCCACCTTGCCACGAGTACTTGTGCTCTGAGCTTCACGTTTGTCTTGAGCTATAAAATATTTATGACTCCTTCCCTCCCCTCCTCCCGCTTCCATCTTCCATCTCCTTCCCCAATCGTGGTGTACCACAACTCTACCTACCTACCTCTATGCACGCTGTCATCAGTCATAATGGCAACTCCCTCTTCCTTTGAAGCGTCCATGGTGAGAACCATACATCTTGGTCAAGGAACTTTGGCAGATCGACTTGCACAGATTCCTCATCATGTCGGTCTATGCGCGTCTTCTTTCTATATTCTCTACCAAGACTTGAAGCTGACCAAGACTACCTGCAGCCCACAGTACCCCACGGCGAGTCTGGCGACTTTGAAGCCATGTGGGATATTCTTCGTTCGGCCCTACGCGAAATCCACGAGAAGAATGCCTCCCAACTCTCCTTCGAGCAGCTGTACCGCGCATCTTACAAGATTGTCTTGAAGAAACAGGGTGATAGATTATACGACCGTGTCAAGGAGTTTGAGGAGCAGTGGTTTGGCGCACAGGTTATGCCAACGATACGCAAACTTATCACGAACAATCTTGTTAATATTACTGTCGGGGGACTTTCCGGGACAACGGCCAACGAGAGACGATTGACCGGCGAGGAATTCATGAAAGGCTTGAAGGCATCATGGGAAGATCACATCACCGTTATGAACATGACTACCGATGTCTTGATGTATATGGATCGAGTTTACTGTGCCGATAATCGCAAAGCCTCAATATTCACTACAGCCATGGGTTTATTTCGCGACCACATTCTTCGATCGCCCCTCTCAGCGGTCGATTCAAATTTGATCACCTTCGACATCTTAAATTCGGTCATCCTGGATCAGATCGCAATGGAGAGACAGGGTGATGTAATTAACAAGCATCACATCAGATCTTGCGTTTACATGCTCGAGGGTCTCTACGAAACCGATGAGGAGAAAGAAGAGGACAAGCTCTATCTTACCAGTTTTGAGCCCGCGTTTTTGCAAGCAAGCAGAGCTTTCTACGCCCAAGAATGCCTTGCTCTCCTTCGAGACTCGACCGCCAGCGATTGGCTACGAAAGACCAAAAAGCGTTTAGCTGAGGAGGAGGCACGGTGTCAAACGACTATCGCAAACTCAACCAAAGCTAAGATCACCAAAGTTGTAGAGCAAGAGATGATCAGCAAGCATCTTTCCGAATTCTTGGTTATGGAAGGTAGTGGACTGCAAGCCATGATTGAAAATGATCGATATGGTGATTTGGCATCGTTGTATGAAGTAATATCTCGAGTCGATCCCGAAAAGAAGCCTTTATGTGAGGCGGTTGAGTCCCGTGTGGTAGCTCTTGGTCTTCAAGTGAACAAGGTTATTGAGGAGACAGATTTTTCGGCAGCAGGAGCTGAAGACGGCGAGGCTGGAGAGGGTCCAGCGAAGCCGGCCAAGAAGAACTCTGGCGCTGCCATGACTGCTGGTGCACTGAAATGGGTTGAAGAAGTCCTTAGACTGAAAAACAAGTTTGACAGAATGGCAAACGACTGCTTTAACAGCGATCCGCTCCTTGAACAATCCATCACAAATAGCTTTAGGGCCTTCATCAACCAGTTTCCTCGTTGCTCGGAATACGTTTCCCTTTTTATAGATGATAATCTCAAACGCGGCATCAAGGGTAAGACGGAGGCAGAGGTAGATATTTTACTGGACAAAGCGACAACTTTCATTCAATATATCCAGGATAAGGATATGTTTGAGAGATACTACAAGAAACATCTTGCTCGCAGATTACTCCAAAACAAGTCCGAGAGCTCCGAAGTCGAGAAGCAAATGATCTCGAGAATGAAAATGGAAATGGGCAATGCATTTACAAGCAAGTTGGAAGGCATGTTCAAGGACCTGGCCATGTCTGATGAACTTACCGCCGGTTACCAGAATTACATCCGCAATCTTGGAGATCTGGACAGAAAGCAGATTGATCTTAATATCAGTGTGCTGACCACCAACAACTGGCCCACGGATTCGATGGGTGGAGGCAGCGCAGAGAGAGAGGAAAATAGAAAGTCTTGCAATTGGCCACCCGAAATTACCACTCTTCAGGAATCCTTCAAGGCATTTTACTTGAAAGAACGAAATGGAAGAATGCTGACCTGGTTGGGTTATCAAGGAAATGCAGATGTCAAAATGGAATTTCCAAAGATACCTGGAAAATCCGGCACACGCTCATTTCTGATGAATTGTCCGACCTACAGCATGTTGATCTTGCTACTGTTCAATGACCTTGCATTAGATGAGACGATTTCGTTTGAGGAGATTCAGGAGAGAACCAATATCCCAACCAACGACCTCGTGAAATCGCTATACACTTTGTCTGTCGTACCAAAGGGCAAAGTTTTGAATAAGCACCCCAACAATAAGGAGAAGCCCAAGAAGGGTGACGCCTTTTCTTTCAATCCAACCTTTACGAGCAAAGCTATCAAATTCAAGGCTCCTGTAATTTCTGGTCAGATCAGCAACAAAGTGGAGGGTGAGGATGAGCGGAAACAGACCGAAAAGGACAATGATAAGAGCAGAAGTATTATGATTGATGCTACAATTGTCCGTACCATGAAGTAAGTAAAATCCATTCCGTGATGTTTGGACAGAGTATTAATCGTTCATTTCGCAGGGCACGGCAGACACTATCACATCTTGATCTCTTTACGCAGGTCATTCAGCAGCTTGCCTCACGCTTCAAGCCGGACATCCCAATGATGAAGAAACAGATTGAGTCGTTGATTGAGAGAGAATACATGGAGCGAGTTGATGGTGCGGAAACAGCCACTTACCGATACCTTGCATAGAACGATGATGATGGGGAATTCTGCTTTTCGGAGTTGGGGCGAAGAGTGGCATTTGTTTTTTTCATGCCCCCCTCTTTTTATATTTTGATGATGATGCTGCTGCTTCTTTGAGCGAAAGTCATAGCTTGCGATGCGATGCGATACGATGCGAATGTGCAAATCTGGAAAGGGACAAATACTTTTTTTGTAATTAGATCTCTTGACATCTTTCTTTTTCTTTCTTTCCTCTACGGGCGCAAAACAAAATCTGGTTTGGGAGTCTGCGGGGATCCTTTTCGCATGGCAGATTTGGGAATCATGCATGGCGTTCTTAGGTGAGGGGTGGATGGGCATATTCGTTTTTTGAGGATGTGTTGATTCGGCATCCTGAGAGTACATAGAGAGAGAGAGAGAGTATTTGGTGGTAGGGAATTCAAGGAATATGATGAGTGTGTAGAATGTGCTTTTGATGTTTTTGTGCTCCGTGTTACTTATTTTTTTATGCCAAAGGACGAGGGCTTATTCATGTCAGCGTTTGAGATTTGAGGAGTTGAGTTGAGTGGTGGCACCTACTCCATCCAGCGTTGTAAAAAAACTACTTAACAACTCGACTACTACTCAGAGTTACACTGAGTTGACTTCAGTTGAGTTGGGTAGTAGCACCTACCCTAACCCAACTCAACCCATTTACAACGCTAACTCCACCTAATTCAACTCGCCAAGTTACTCGAATAACTTACGGAGTATAAGAATTGAGTGGTGTGGTAGGTTTGGTACAACGCTGCTTCTTGCTTCTCTTTGCACGCCATGAATTGACTGGTCGTGATTGTGGGGATGCATTGAAAGTCATGGGTTTACGATTTGATAGAGAGAGAGATGTGTGTACCCGGTGCAAGTATTTCATTGCCTAATTCATCTATTCCTATTTGTGAATACCATGCCACATGCCACATCCCATCCCATGTCAAATCATCATATCATCCCATCCCTCCCCATTTCCTCCCCTCCACAATCCTACTGTAACACCCCTAACCCCAAGTCGTCTTCTTATCCTCGATCGGAATCTCCTTACCGGTAGTATCCTTATACTTCCCCCTTATGAAATCACTGATCTTCTCATCTTTCGCTTGTTCAATGGCGGACTCGTTGTCTTGGGGGCCTTGGCCGAGGATGTGTTGTTGGACGAAGTCTACGCCTGTTTTGTTTATCATCAGTTTTTATTTATTTTTATTTGTGATTTGGGGGGTGTGTGGGGGAAAGGGGAAAGGAGGGGTGTGGAGGGGGAAGGGGGAATGGGATACCTTTATCCAAATAATCCTCATTCTTCTCACTTTCTTTTCCTCCTCCTGCTGCGCCGTTGAGTTTTTCGGTGATGCCTGAGAGGAATCCACCGCCTCCTTCTTTCTTTTCGGTGGAAGAAGAGTGTTGGTTGTATTCTCCTGATGACGAGGAGGAGGTGTGTTGTTGGGTTTGTTGGGTTTGTTGAGAGGTGGTGTTGGTGGTGGAGTCTTGGGAGTCGGCTCCTACGGCTTTTTTGATGAAGTCCATTCTGTTTGTTTGATTTTGGAGAATGAGGAGGATGATGGGGATTGATGGATTTGAAGGGTTTGTGTTTGGTGTTGAGGTTGTAAAAGTAGGTATGAAGGTCGAAGTTGTGGTTGAGAAAACAAGCTCGAAACTCCTCAAACAAGCTCTCAAATACCCCGCCTCATCTCGTTGCAAGCTTACACCATGATCCAATCAGTGGAACTCCAAACGAGGGGCTGCAACATCTGCTTGTGAATGGTCGCCATAGCTTGTTCTGATAGGAGGCCGGGACCTGGCTGCTGAGTGCCAAGAGGGATACGTCAGAGGGTGGTGCTTGTGGTTCAGCTGGGGAGGGATGAAGGGGTTACGTCAGGTGTGGGGACTGGATGGGTGGGGATGGGGTTGGAGAAGGGGTGTGATTGGTTGGTTAGGTTGGTCAGGTTATAAGCCGGTCTACGAGGCACGAGTATAATAACCGTCACGTGATTCTATAGAACTAGATTAACCTTTAGTAAGAATTAATTAGAAATACTAGAGAAGTATATATTTAGAAATATATTATTAAGGAATTATTTTGATACTATTCTTATTTTTCTTTAAATAATACTAGTAAATAATCTATTAATTAATCGCTTAAAGATAACTAAGTAAAGAACTCTTCTTAATAATATCGTGTTTATTACAAGTCTTTTATAGTCCTCGCTTACGGGTATGAAACCACTTCACCTAATTTTCTTTGAATTCCAGTTAGTAAACTTACGCGATTAGTGTCATTATCCGTGGTCCCGAGTTTGGTGTCTCATTAAAATTAAAAGTACAGTTCCCAATATTGAAGTAGTTGCCAGTGTTAAGAAAGTTCTAACTGGCTATTACTTCCTGATTGTTAGTACCTATAATAAATTCCGTAAACTAATGGTATTACTAGACCGTATATAGACAAAGCAATCGTAATTGCTCACCTCCGGAGTTCTAATAGAGATAATAGGATAATGGCTCAAACCATGTGAAAGACATCGGTTGTCTTATAAAGCTATACTTAATGAGAATTCGGAGATTGAGCCACTAATTACGTATTAGAGTAGACTTGATGATGAAATGACTGAACGCAAAAGGGAAAGGGTGCGTTGTGTCACTTGATGGGGATATGAGAATGGGAACGTATATTAAGGAGAAATGGAGGATAACTATGATTTCTTGGTTCCTGGCTATTTTGGATGAGGATACTTGCTTTTGAGTCGCTTATTTCATCCTTACGGCTTCTTTCCTAAATGCTTCACGAAGGGATAATAACGGATTAGTTTTTGAACATGGACCTCTTCTCAGGATTACACGGACTATCTAATCTGCAAACATATTTAATTACATATGGTTATAAAATCATGAGTAATCCCGACTACTATTTTTATTTTACTTAGAAGATTAAAGTCTGGCGCCAAAATGGTATAACAGAGTTGTATTATGTATCTACCTATCAAAGGACAGAGCTAACTAAGCAACTTATATCAGGACTTTTCATTGCTTTAATTTTCACTCCCCCTACCTGGCTCAATAACAACCTTCCCAAATTTATTTGAAGTAGTTAGAAGGAAACCACAGATCTGCATGCATACCAAATGTTACACCATGTTTCCAGCCTCGAACATGATGGCCTCTTAAGTAACCGTTTGATTGGTAGCTGACGTACACTTCGCCCTTCATACAAGCCCCAAACACCATATTGCTTATCGTAAGCCTCGGTTCATCTCTCATAAAAATGTCGCGATTTACTTCGGCTGAGATGTCTTTTAGGCACACGAGCAATCTCGCCTGACACGAAGAACGTACTAGAGCTAAAGCTTTGTCCTTGATGGATAAGATTTCAGATGCAGTCGGTTGCATTAGAACAGGAGCCATCAGTGCAAGTAATCCTTGAAGTACCAAAACGTCATCCGTGTTCTGGAGAACTTGGAAGGCCTCGCATGTCGCAAGACGGTGCCGATGAAGATGGATGCAGCTGGACAGAAACTCGTACGCATCTTTGCTCTCATCGCTTTTGGGGATATTCTCCAAGATGAGCTTCGTGAGAAGAGCCACTTCTTTGGTTCCAATGGGGAAGTATCTGAGCTTTGTGAGACACTTTTGGAAAAGATCGCCGATCCCATATCTGTCGCTTAGGCAAAGGGTCTTCACCACCATCTCAAAGAGCTGAAACGTTTTATCTGAGGAGATATAGACGCCGCAGTTGACAAGGCTGGTGAGTCTTCTTTCCATTTGATTACCAGAAATTTCCTTCGTTTCGTACCATGCCATGTGGATATATTGTTCTTGTTTCTCTCGAGGTGCATTTTCCTTGACAAACAATGGTACTTCAAAGATTTCCGCATTTTCCGATGGGCCCGCGACCAATTTCGGGAAACAGTCACCCTCATAGAGATACTCGATCAGTCTTCCGAATACTTTTGGGTCCTCCTCCTCTTCGAAGTTGATACGTTTCTCTTGGCCTTCAATATAGGCTCCTGGTCGGAGGGCAGCTTTGAAGAAGGGGATCTTGACGAGATAATCCTGGTGGACATAGAAACGGGTTGGGTCAAACTTGGGACGCAGAGAGAGGGTGATGATCGGGCTTTTGTCAGGTCTACCGGAAGCTTAGTAGACATATGAAAGATGTGGGTATTTCCATGTTGGACTTACGTTATAGACTTTTCCCCGTCTGCTTTCATGGTTGAGTGCTCAATTTCTGCGTTATTTGCTGACATTTTGATTATTGTTGCGAGTATCAAAGTGAGTACGAGCTTGCTATCGAGTAGCTGAGAAAGCCCAGCTATTTATAATACTAAATGGGTTACTCTTCTTGTGGAAGGAAGTGCATAGCCTCTTCGACAGTTATTATGTTATTGTTGGATTCATGGGATTAACCTTGAGTTTCATTGATTCACGATATGTATGTGTGCGATCCATTACATGTTAGACTCCACGTAATAAGCATAACTTCATTCACTCATGTTTGAAACATACACTTTCAAATGATGAATGAGGGTTGTCATTGTTTTCTCTGTGGTAGAAAGAAGACTCGATGGTTATTAATTAGCACAAGAAGAAATGTGAAAATACTGACAACAGTTGAGCAGGATTTACCAGCTCGTCAAACCTGGATGAGGTGAGTTTTTCAACATGATTGTACGACCATTCTGCAGTGTTGTAAATAAATTTTATGTTGAGTTGAGTCGAGTAGTAACACCTACTTAACTTGACTCGGAGTAGTTATTAAACCTACTCTAAGTACTACTTAAATAGTTAAATCAACTACTCAGCTTAAGTTGACTAAATCTACTACTTACCCTTAACTTAACTTAACTCTGAATAACTTAGGGTAGTACTCAAGTTGTTGAGTCGTCTTTTACAACGCTGCCATTCTGGTTACAATAAAATTTCCAAGTGAACACCCCAAACAGCTTAATGCATTAACATTCTAGATAACAAACACAAGCTCTAAATATGATTGCTATCGAAGAGGAATTGTGAATGCCCCACATAAGTTGTACGAGCGTACATGTGGAAATAGGCTGTCAAATCTCCTGCAAAATGCAAGCCAGTAAGTACTGTTCTGCACAAACATTGTCAGATATCAAGAGAAGAGAATTCTGAATGGAACATAACCTGGGTGTCACTAGTTCACTGTTTATGTGAGAGATATTACGGAGAAGACTTGTATTGTTAAGTATGTACTAAAAAGCTGCAAAATAGATTCCCCTCAATTGGGTCGTAATGGAACCCACTACCAGTCCCTGGCAATTAAGAGAACCCCTTTGCAGCTATCTTGAAGACTCCAACCTCCAGCATAGATCAGGCCTTGTGGGAACGAACAACGGATACTGAGATCCACAACTTTCGCTATCTGACAGCAAATCCAGGCTCAAGAAAATTCACCACCATGAAGAAGTCTGAAGTATTCCGCAGGGTACGCCGCAGGGTACGCTACTGATGCTTGCTTTTGTGGTTTGCCATTATCGCCGAGAAAGTTCATCCCCTGCCAACAACGAATTATCCCGCGATTATCCTTTTCCCCGTCAGTGATAAATATGTCACCAGCCTTGGCAGACCCGAATTTTACCGCAAATCGATCTGGGTAGTCGGATCCATATTTGTTGATTAGGTCTTGAACATTAACATCTCTGATACATAGAGCGATCCCCTTAACTGCAGTGGGTGCTTCGAGTTTGCCGTCAAGCACAGCTTCAATCTTTTTTGCAACACCTGAGGTACCTGCGAAATTTACCATCTTGAAAAGCTCTCTGGCAGGCTCAGAGGCTTCATTCTGAAGGAAAGCATCGACAAATGGGCAGTCAGACAATCTGGTTAGATGGCAGTTGATAAAATCCTGAAGTTGGTCGTAGATTTCTTTCCGGCTTGGAGGTATGTTGGTCAGAATGTGTTGTGCAAGTACAGCCACCTCCTTGGCTCCAATTGGAAATTTCTTCAACTTCCACATGCAGTGCTGTTGCAAATCAAGCATGCAATAACGTTCAGCAGCACACATGGTGAGTACGATCACTTGAAAGAGAGCAAAAGTCTCATCGGTGCTGGTACTGGAACCATTTGCGATCGCCCCAAATTGTTTATAAGATCCCAAGTACAGCTCACTTTCCACATTATGCGCAAGTCTTTGGATATATGGTGGAGGTGCCAATCTGGGACTTATCTCGTGTTCGGAATCCCAGACAGGAAAGCAGCTCTTGGTGTACATCCACTCTAATAGTCTTCGAAATACCAATGGGTCCTCTTCTGGCAAGACGATAGTGTTTGTTTGACCTTCGATGAAAGCATCTTCCCGAAGGCATGCTTTAAAGTATGCGACACTACAGAGGGCATTCTTGTGAGCGTATAGTGTGTGCTGATTTTCCTGAGGGCCAACTATAAGCTTAACTTGTGAAGAATCGTAAGGGCTGTCAAAGGTTAGTCTAGCGCAGAGCACATAATAAAGCGATTTACTCACCCTTCAATCTCTTCTTTGTAATCTAACAGAAGTGTTTGAAATGGGCTTGGAGAAGTGGCAGAAATGTTGGTGTCTGACTCGGGCGCTCCCTCAGAGCTTTGTGTCGAACCAGTCTTCGTCGCTGATGCCATATTGACGTCGCTACTTGCACAGCGATCTGCTTCGTCCATGTCGCTGATCTCTGCTCCTGATACCTGAAAAGGGTTGTCTAGGATAGATGTGATTTCTCTGCTGCCTAGGTTGCCCGTATTGGCAAGATTTGTGGAGGATGGAGGATGAAGGTGGAGATTGGTGGAAAACGAAATTATGGAGGGGGACTCATGTATGTCTGCAGATAGAATCAGGCAGGCAAGAAATGCCATTCCACTTACGTTGTGGATGTGAATGCTGCAAAGGAATTCACCTTAAAGTGGATACTGCAGCTGGCCTAGCGAAAATTGCGCTCTAGTGGTTCACAATCTATTAGAGACTGAGAACGTCGCTCCATGAATCGCATAAAGTGGATTCACTTATGTGTATAGTTTTATACAAGGATGAAAAGCTATCTATAATAGACTTCAATTAATCCTTCTGGCTCTTCCACAAAAGTACGGATTTAGAAGCTTATAATAGATAACACAGTAGAAGCAAACTTACCATAGATAGTTTGTTCTTAGGGAAGGTGAATCAGCTCCCCTTGAGCGACAAGTATTAACTAGTCACGTTGTTTCTGGGATTGCTATTAGATATTCTAATAACATGTCTGGACATCACAAAACCTGATACTGTGCGCCTGGTCAGGTCAGTGGAGTGTGTAATGTGATTCCCAAAAGCGACAAGCACACAGAGCTGTTCCTATACTCGGAAAAAATCCACTGCCTACGAAGGTGGATTTTTCTAGCCCCATAAGCACCAGTCCCATCGTGCCTTGCTAGAGTTTTGCCATTTTGTTTTTTGGTCACTATTTTCGTGACTTCTTTTTGGCACGCATTGTGAAATGGCGCATTCGCTTAAGGGGACCAATGATGGAAGTGGTCTTGTCTTGTGAGGTTCTTTTGGCGCAAGTGAATAAAGGCAGCTCACCACATCAAAAAGGCTTAGGGAGCTCAATTTTAGTACCACCCAACCAATTTACAACACACTTCATCTACATTAATTAAATACCCAATACAATGAAAGACATGATTAGGATAATGTGACCAATAAACAATAGATAAATAAATGGGGAATGAAAAGATCATGGTTAGTCTTTTCATTACTAGGATTTAAATTTGCTAGTTTATGAAGTATACATTGCCCATAGGTACCATACACAGTTTGTGACCCTATTCATCAGTTATGATAGGAACTCACTAAGGATAATTGTCGGTATGAGAGATACTCGTAAATAAGGGTACAAAAACAGCAGTAACAATAGCATACAAAAGTTGGTATAATAGTTAATTGATTTAATACTATGGAAAGGAGGAGTACTAGCTATATAAGTACTCGTATATGCTAAGCTTTCCGATATCCACGTGATAAAGTGGTGGATATATCGCAACAATAATATATTATTCGAAGATGTGGACAATACAGAAATTCCCCTTTGCCCTTGGTATCTACTTTATTGCTAAACTTCAATTAAGTCCTTGCCCTTCCTATGGCTCGTACTTATATCCCACCATATTTTCTCTCAATATTGATTTCAAGCTACACATGATCTTGGAAGTCGAGAACAGAAGAGCACACAGTACATTATGTATATTAGATTGAATCTGAATTCATATCTTGAACCACAAGAGAGATCCCTAATTTCTACTCCAGAAAGTCTACTACCCTGGGTCACTGACAAAAGCTCCAGTTATAAGCATGTGGACCCCTTACATAGCTACTTGCCACATCCTTGAGTCGCATTTTTGATATCTTCCTCGCAGGCAAAGTATTTTGTGAACGGGTATAGTGAAGAACGTGTTCTTGGAGGAGCAGTAATTGGTAAAGACATTTCAACTGTGCTGAAATATTGGTTTCCAGTGCTAAATGCAAGTCAATATCGAAAACGTGGGCTTGCATTGGGCTAAGCTGGCGTAGCAGCGACAGAAGTTCAATAAAATCCAAGAAATCATTCCCTGAATTCTGGTGCATTTAATTGAGTCAGGCTCCATTTCTAGTGAAATGTCCCTTTTGAGGCTCATGATATGTTCAGATCAGTGCGTACTAACACGTATCATGTAGTTATTGGTATAATAGCTTATTACTATTGTAGAAGTCCTGAAAACGCATTTTTAGTTAAATACTATTCATGGTATACTAGTCATGTAATATCTAAATCAAGTTAACTCAACTTATCAGTCGGTACTCGAGGGAAGTTGAGTAGCTGCTTCGATTTTAAAAAGCTGCTTAGGCATGCTAATATCTAAAATTGACAGGCTAAGAAGGATACTTGCTAACCTCTTTGACATTAAAGCTCATGAATAATGAGGCTTCCAAGCTTCCAAGTATCTCAAGTTGGGGGAATACCACTATTAAAACTGGTACTTTATTTTTGTCAGGATTTGACGGACTAAGTCATGGTTTTCCTTGTGATAGTAAAGACCTAATGGAGTTGCATTGGTCATGTTTTTCTCAATCACGTGCTGTGATTACATTGTCGAATTTATCATAGAGAACTACTTGTGAACGGCACAATAACCACCTTGGATATAGGTAGTAAAAGTTTAAACATGTTATTCCAGGAACCAAGAAAACCTGTAAGATGAAAAAGAGATATACAACGTGACCAGAGGCTGAGAAGCTAGACTGGATGTGGATAAAAGAGCGAGTACGAAAACAACGACAAAACACCAAACCTCACGATAATGACCAGCGTACCAAATAAACCCACGTTTTCATGACTCGTCGCACCCGATGTTGTTGAACTAAACATCGAAAAACAATACAACACGAGTGACATGTTGCGAGACCCGATAACCTGCGGCGAGAGACGGTTTCTGAAAAGGGTTGGGGAAGGTTTTAGATGGAAAAGGATGTGAAGACGGGCGACCAATTAAGGGCCTTGGATTGTCAAATCAAGATCCTTGTTATGGAATCTCAGCTGGACCATCAGCTTAGATCCCCGAATGGACCCTGCATTGGCTTTGCGAAGTATTTACGCCATGCAATGTACGGAGATGCGCCTCGCAGGATGAAGCTATGCCCTCGCAATGTTGATACCGTATCTATCACGTTCTCGTTGGCTTGTCGTACGGCATCTCAGGTGGCAAGCCTTCAGATTTACTCAGGTGGTAGGTTTACTTTTTCACATATCTCTACAACTAACCTTCGATGATTCGTAATCTGGTAATCTGCAGTCGGGTGTCTCTCCTAAAACCGTCCGTGCCGTGTCAGACTTCTAGATCACCAAGGCTTGATTGAGGCTTCCAGATTGAAGACTGCCTTTCTACCCTCCCCTTTCCCCTCATTTTTGTGTTTTTCTTTTCCCCAAGACTTCGAACAGACTGCGATTCTTGGTTGGAAGTCGCTGTGACCCAATCTTCGAGCGAGAATCCATTGTTTTGGGTAAACATTGGCAGAAACGTTACCCATTCGGCGAGCATGTGAGTCGACTGATCTGTCCCCTCCACACAGCTTTCCGTAGCAGAGTTTGCATATTCTTTATTGACTTTTCAATTTCATAGAGCTCCCCAATTCGAGAAAGTCCCAGACTTTCTGCTCATACCACGATGCGCGATCCCTTCCTCCCACCGATACCAATTCTCCAACAACTAGTAACACCTCTGTGCAATAAACTTCACCTCTATTCCCTACCTTTTCATATCCACGAGATTCTTGCAGCTTTTGCTGTTTATCATGCTATCTTCGAATACATTGCGCCGCCATTCTCCGGCTTTTTTCTTGCGAAACTATACACAGGCTTGTCTAGGGAAAGCAAACTTCGATGGAACATGCACTGCGTGTCTATGGTCCAAAGTCTGAGCATCTCTGCGCTGGCACTATGGGTTATAGCCGTAGACACTGAGAGGCGGCACATGAATCTCGAGGAGAGAATGTGGGGATACACTGGTGCTGCTGGCCTGGTTCAAGCTCTGGCGACGGGGTACTTTTTATTCGACCTGACCATCATGATACGGTATTTGGATGTTTTTGGGGTCAGCATGTTGACGCATGCTTTGAGTTGTCTTGTGACATATACTCTAGGATTCGTAAGCCTGCCACAGCTGTCTAACATACCATGTTTACTAACCTTTGGCAGCGCCCAATATTCAACTACTACGGATGTGTTTTTATGCTTTATGAGCTTTCTACTCCCTTCTTGAATATGCATTGGTTTTTTGATAAACTAGGCATGACCGGTTCGAGGGCGCAACTGTATAATGGATTTGCGCTTATATCAGTATTCTTTAGTGCTCGACTTGTTTGGGGGGCTTATTCTTCATTTAATATATACCGAGATGTTTGGAACGCCATATACTTCGATGCCAACACAAAGAAATTGAGTACAAACGAGGCCATGATGGTGTTTGGCAAAGACAGACCCCTTCCAGCATGGCTTGTGGTTATTTACATGGGCGGACATGTTACTCTTCAACTTTTAAATGTGTTTTGGTTAGGCAAGATGATCGCTGCAATCAGAAAGCGATTCACACCTGAGGCTCTAGCCGAGAAGAAGCAGAAGACACAAAAAAAGCAGAGATGAAGTTTCAACTGAGTTTCCCGGGTGATCGCAAGCTAGACGATGTCGACGAATAAACAGAGATAGAAGAATGAAGAATTTACGAGACCACACGAAGTCATTACTTTGGGAGATATCAGTAAACCATCACTTGTCAATAGTAAGCCTGATGTTACTCTTTAGCACATGGGGTTCTAAGACAACATTTTCTCGTCATAACCGTGATTTGTTTGTCATATTTATATGTTCTAGGCCCGCCCTTCGAACGGTGACGTCTCCGACTTGTTAGACTGCAAATCTAAAAAATGGATCTCATTTATTTCGGTTCAAGATTTATCAATTGACCAATGAGGAAACTGTTGGGTCGGATTTGGCCCCCTTGTTCGTATCCAATTTTCACCCCGACTCATGTTTAAACTCTTCAAGGGGCCCGCTTGGCGCCCGAGTCGTCGTCCCCTCACCGTCCCTTACAAGTACCAGACCCGGTTTACACAAACTACACTCCCTTCTTTCACTCATTCTCACATGCACAAAAGCATTCATCGTTCATTCTACCTTCTCCTTTCCCCTCTCTCTCCTTTCATTACCTCTTTTTCTGATGAGTTATAAGTCTGGCCGCATCTCGCTCTTTTACCCCTTTCCGTTGATTTTTTCCCATCCTTTTGAACCCCTAAATCCCCTGAAAGAACTTGGAACCTTCCTCAATAGCACCAATTGATCTCGACGACAAAATGAATCAAACACCGTTTCTCTCAGATTTTCACACCAGTAACGTCGAAAGACCCGCCAGGAAAACCTCTCGACGCCGCAATGGAAAGAAAAAGAGCAGCAAAGATCGATCCAAAAGCACAAAACTGGTGACTTTAAAAGACACAGCCAACCAAATCCGTCTCTATGCTTGGCATGAATTGGAATCATGGCAACAAGACAATGAGTTCCTTCACTCGGGTTACCGAAAAGCCACCAATTCGTACCGGGCATCTCTCACATCACTATCTTACATCCACAATCAAACAGCGAACATTTACTCCCATCTCGTCGGAGCGTTTCTCTTCATACTGGCATCCATCTTCATCTACTACTCGGTTGCTTCGCGATATTCGACTGCTGATGCGTGGGATGTTGGAATTTTCGCATCATTTTTTATGGGTGCGATGACGTGTTTTGGGATGAGTGCTTTCTTTCATACGGTGGGAAACCACAGTGAGAAAGTTTATCATAGTTGGTTGCTCATGGACCTTTACGGTATCTTGGGGTTGATTTGTGGGACGGTTTATTCCGGGACGTATTATGGATTTTATTGTGAGAGGAAAATTTGGCTGGCGTATTCTATTCAGGTGAGTCCCATTCCGTTTCGTTTACCGCATACTTTTGGCATAGTGCGAGTGATGTCTTGGTAAATGATTTGATATCGTTGGGTTTATGTTCGGTGTTCGAATATTGACTGAGAATGAAATACTGACGATCTCGTAGATCACACTCATTACAAGTCTTGGAGCTCTCATTTGTGCTATGCCAAAATTCCGCGCTCCTAAATGGAGAATTGCTCGAGCTGTAGTCTTCGGCTTCATTTTCTTCTCGGGAGCTATTCCAATGACTCACGCTGTCAAGAAATTTGGCTACGAAAAAGCTGCTCAACAAATGGGTTGGTGGTGGCTTATTCTTGAAGCTTCTCTCTATGTTATGGGGGCTACAATTTATGCTGTATGTTTTCTTTCTCAATATTTCCCAGATACGCTCGAATCCGTACTGATATTCCACAGTTCCGTTTCCCTGAATGTATCAAGCCGGGAGCCTTTGACATATGGGGAAACTCACACCAGGTATTTCACATTTTCGCAGTTCTGGGCGCTTTGGTGCATTTGATTGGCATGATTAAGGCGTTTGATTACAATCATAATCCGGCTACTAGACGCTGTTGATCGATTAGAAGGTTAGAGAAAAGTATATTGTGTATAGAGATAGGTCATTTTGCATATAGATTTTTAATTGTTTTTTTGGGAAAGATTATTACCATTTATCTCATCTTTACTTCAGGGCTGGGTTCGATGCTTTATCCAGTATCACCGTGTGGGGTTTAGCTTGGATTTGTTATTTCTTTTCTTCCAGAATAATTACATGTCACATGACGCGTAATTCTTCTACACATCCTGTATCCCAAGGTATGTTTTCTCTAGTTCTACATTTGTACTATATAATCTAATCGTGATTATTTCCTTTCTATGGCTGTCAGGTAATTAGGCAGGGGCGGAAAACACATATTGGAACACGGGACTTGGGCTCGGAGTTGCGAAGCTGGCCGGTGTTAATTAGCGCCGCCACCGGTGGTCGGTTGGACCAACATTCAATAGATACAATTGTTGATTTTGAATGCCGAATGCCATGTTGCATTTCATTCATTGCACATGGAAGTTACATAGACGACATGACAGACCTCGTCAAGGAAGAAAACAATAGATTATCTACCGCCTCATTAGCCGACGCGTCGAAACACCACGAAGACTCGCTTGATATTTCATCTGTGGCCGGCATACGAAATGAAAAGAATTCCGATTCAAATAACATCAAAACCTCTCCAATCCTCCCAATTCAAAGTGACGGGATCAAAGTCGCAAAACAGGGTCAAGAAAATGAAGCATCTGAGCAGCCCACATTGCCAACAGGGGTAGATTATACTGTTTTGACGACTACACAAAAGAAACTCATTGTATTCACTGCTTCACTGGCCTCGGTCTTCTCGCCAACGGCTACTGCTATTTATTGTAAGTTCTGGATGAAGGTTTGTGAGGCGAACATAAGCTGATAGTTATAGACCCCTCGTTAGAGACAATTGCAAGGGACCTCGGCGTGTCAAATACACGTATCAACATCACAGTCACTCTTTTTCTTGTAATTCAAGAAATCGCTCCCGCTTTCGTTGCCAACTTGGCGGATACAACTGGGAGAAGGCCAATGTATATTTTCTGTTTCCTCCTTTTCAATGCCGCGAATATTGGCTTGGCTCTACAGAATAACTTCACTGCACTCCTGATCCTGCGAATGGTTCAGAGTGCGGGATCTTCTGGGACTGTTGCTCTGGCAAATGGAGTTGTTGGTGATATTGTAACATCAGCTGAGCGTGGAACATATGTTGCTTACACCTCGCTCGGGCCAATATTTGGACCCATGATTGCTCCGGTTTTAGGTGGTATCATCGGACAATATGCTGGATGGCATTTCATCTTTTGGTTCTTGCTCATTTTTTCGGCGGCAGTATTTATCCCGTTGATCTTGTTTATGCCTGAGACTCGATCCCACCACCATTTCTGTCACAAAATGTCGCAGATATGATTCGCCACAAGAGAAGAGCAAAGGCTGAACTCACATATGATGAAGCCAAGCATGCAGAGATCCAAAGAAACTACAAGTTCCGGCTTCCCAACCCGATGCCAACTCTGGCTGTGCTGCTGGACCTTGAAAGCGCCTGTGTTCTTGTGGCTACTGGATTAGGTTTAGGATGTTTTTATGCTATTAGGTACTTAAATATCTCGCTGTTCTTTCATGGAGATTGCTAATCAACTTTTATTTAGCACCGGTGCTTCTAAAGTCTTCTCAAACCTCTATGGCTTCAATCAGCTTCAGATCTCCCTCATGTTCTTACCCATCGGGTTTGGGAGCATAGTATCTGCTTTTACAGTCGGAAAACTTGTAGATTGGAATTACCGCCGCTTTGCAAAGCAGCTTGGCGTACCTGTCGTCAAGAATCGAGTTCAAGACCTAGCCCACTTCCCCATCGAAAAAGCCCGCTTGCAAGTTGCATTTCCAACAACTTTCCTAGCCGCTGCATTTATTGTCATGTATGGTTGGGTCATGGCCCAGAAATTGAGTCTTGCTGCTCCGATTATCACACTGTTTTTTGGAGGATTTGGTCTAACCGCCACATTTCAGACGCTGAATATATTGTTGGTTGATATCTATCCTGGGAAGCCATCAGTTGCCACAGCTGCGAATAACTTTGTGCGATGTGAGATCGGGACAGTCTTCTCGGCTTTTATCGTACCGTTATCTGATGCCAAAGGAACGGGTTGGGCATATACAATACTTGCCGCGATGTTCGTGTCGTTCAGTCCGGTTTTGTTAATTATCATGAAGAAAGGACCCGTCTGGAGACGCACCAGGAAGGAAAAAGAAGATAAAGCGGAGTCGGAGAGGGAGGGGAGAGCCGCCAGGAAAGAACAACAGAGGGCGCAAAAAAATGAATCCTGATAGAGTGTCTCTTACTAGGCAGAATCATGGAGAATAGTAATTCAGAAATAGAACCTTTTTTACCTATCTTACAATGTTTGAGCTCACTTCATCCTGTCTATCATCTTGGCAGCATGAGGAGGTGGTCTGCCACCGCGTTATTTACTTGCTCCTCGTACTCGAGTAGTCTTGAAGCTTCATCCCAAAAGTGTCGTCCGTAGCCGAAACATACATGAAAAGTTTTAAGACTTCCAGAACAGTTAACGTTATGCATTGATATCCACCATCCACGATAGTTTTAGTTCAGTGAGGAGAGATCTCCAGGCTTTGACGGTAGTGGTAGACCCATTGAAAGGAAGCTACCCAATTAGCGGGTTTTCCGATGGTTTATCAGGGGCCGTCTGCTAAGCGAGTTAGTAAGACCCCTACTAGTATGGGAGGATTCTTTCCTTTGGCGTGGGCCCTTATCTAACCGGTTTGCTTGATATAATGCTATACTTAAATGTTCCTTTCTAAAAGCGAAGAAAATATAAGAACAGATTCCACTTCTATATCGTTTTCTCATCCCACCGTATGTCCATACCCTACTGCAATCTTCCCTTTCGCGGCTCCCTTTTTATCCTGCACCAACCTTTGAATACACAGCTGTAACGAGAATTTCCTATCTTACAATTATAAATCAATTCTTCCAAGCTTCGAAACGCCTCCCCTTATTATTTCGAAATAACCCTACCTATATCCTCAAGGGAGGTGGTCCACGTGAAATATATGTCATCACCATTGGCCGTCCATACATCAGATATTCCCAGGCAACACTGCAAAGGAAGTGCCGAAGGATAATCGTACCACATCTAATCTTCCACCAAAAAAGACCTGTATGACCATTAATTACCCATACTGATAAATTAGCCCCCGGCAAAATCACTTTATACATTAGCCAAGAACGGCCAAACTTCATATAGCCTCACTTCATATTCGTTCAAAGTTGTCTCGTCTATTACAAAATGTAACCACAGTTCATGCTGTTCCTATAAATCTCTTGGCGATAGGAAGGCCAAGAGTTCGACTATCACGCTTCCCCAGCTTAGGAGCTAAATACTCTGTACATAAGCGAGGTATCGTAGTTGGTTTCTAGAAAATACCTACATCACATCTATCGTATGAAGTAATATTTCAGACTCAGACACAGTGGTGCTCCGTTACCGTGATTACTATCTCAACTGTCTTCTTGTTTCTCTACCTAGCCATCGGAGCCGTGGGACAAAGTTACTACTCAACGAACTGGAGTGACGGTACAGCAAAGGCAAAGTATACCAATGGAGCGGGCGGATTATTCAGCGTCACCTGGTCGGGAAATAAAGGGAACTTCTTCTGTGGAAAGGGGTGGAATCCAGGTGGTTCAAGGTACTGCAATTCATCCTACATATCGAGCATTATCGACTTACACTACCTCCTCTTACAGAGCGATATCATACACCGCTACCTTCCTCCAACAAGGAAACGCCTACCTAATAGTTTACGGCTGGACCACCAACCCACTAGTAGAATACTACATTGTCGAATCGTATGGAACTCACAAACCCTCCGATAGCACCAAAGCAGTCATGAAAGGCAACCTGACATCCGACGGCGGGACATGCGAAATCATGACGAAAATGCGAGTTAACAAACCATCGATTCAGGGAACCGCTACGTTCCCGCAATTCTGGTCGATCATAACGGATAAACGGGTTGGAGGGACGGTGACGACGGGGAATCACTTCGAGGCGTGGAGGAAAGCGGGGTTGAAGTTGGGAAGCCATAATTATATGGTTGTTGCTGTGGAGGGACAGGATAGCAATGGAACGGCTACTGTTACTGTTGGGGTTGCGCCTCCGACGTGAGTTGCTTGTTCTTATATAATATGTTTGAAGGTAGAGTGTAATATGTTGACATGTTTGCAGTCCCACTGCAATACCGGAGTCCAGAGTAAGTTCAACCACCTTACTAGCTTCTTCGAGTACTGTTTAGGCAAGCAAGGGAGTATTCTAGGAAGTATTCTGTCAAGACAAAGAAACTTGACAATCTGGAGAGCTGAGCTTTGGCTCTGTTCGAGTAGTGGATCTCCGCCCTACTCTGAGGGATCTCTTTCAGGATCTTAGTTTACCGAGATTAGTAACTTCACTCTCCCTGTGTACATATCTGGAGTCATTTCTTTGCAAGAAGAATTACAATAAGCAGGAAGACCTTTTATCCACCAGAATGATGTCATATCTTCACAGTAAAGTAAGCCTTGCAAGAACAGCGGCAGAAACTCGCTTATCAATTTGAAGCTTGAGTTGATGCCCTAGTCATAAAAGAATTCATCTAAAAGCCCAAGGGAGAATAGCAAACCAGGACTATACCAAACTCTCCTCTCAACAAACTTCGTACCTGGTACCCGTAGACATAGCCGCGACTAAAAGATTCGCGGGGTGCAGAGTACACACTCCATGCATGGTCCATGGTGTTGGGACTTCCCCAGAGTTCCACAATTTATGATTTCTGTCAAAGCGATGAAAATATGCTTGAATGTCGCAAGTACGTTGATACCCGGCGTGTGGGTGTTCCATTTTCCGCCTTGAAGATTGTTGCATTCATCGGGCGGATGTACTCCGTAAATACTGGAGACACAGAAGATCAAGTTAAGTGGGAGTAGAAAGTACAATCATATCCACCGGGCTATTTTCCTAATGCAAAGGTCGACCGGCTCTCCATAAAAGCAGGCCCACGCGACCTTAGACTCGGGTTTGAAAGAATCCCTTTTCCTTTCCAGCGTCTTGGAAGTTGGAATTTCAGAGCTTCAAAGTGGGAGGGATCGCCACTTGAGCCTCTCACCTCCCATGTCTGAATTCGAGATTGTGCCAGCTCTCCAGAATCGGCTGCTGAATTTGGAAACTGCTCAGTTAATCATTATCAAAATGGAACAGTTCAAGAAGATCACTGCTTACAAGTGACAAAACAGCCAAAAGCAGGCAGGCTCACAGAAAAGATTTTGCAAACCCCCTGCCAGACCAGCATTCAAGCATCCTCACAAACAGTCCTCATTGGTTCCTCCACATCGAATCAGTCAACGAACATGCCACCCCAAAATCTCACGAACTTGCTGGTAGCCAGCGGAGACAACCTCACAAATAAGACGCTGACTCGCAACTTGCCCCGCAATCTCCCCGCAACATGGGGAAGCACAAGCCTCGGGAAAGCCCTCGCCCCACGCGGGAATTGAAAGAGGGAGACGAGGAAAAAATTCTCCATGACGTTCAAAAAGCTTCATTTTCACGACTCAATCTTAAATGATTCGCACCTTCTGTAAACGCTCGTTCAGGAGTCAGGAGGTCGAAATTGGTACTCGGTACAAGCGAGACTTTATATCTTCACGAAAATAAAGAAAAAGAATAACAACGATCAGGCACGTCACAAGCCCTATCGTCAAGCCAACGAGCGGGGAACTCTTGCCATAAATCGTACCGAGGGACCCCAAATACGGGGGCCCTATCTTTGACAAAAGTTGTTTGCCCAATAAGCTCACCGGTCACCATTGTATGTAAACATCCAGAGAGAATATAAAGTACTCGTATCCTCGTAAAAACTTCAGGCACGTGGTTCGAGTCAGATCATCTCCTCTTTGAACGACAATCCCATCCAAAAGCCCCTCTTAAACAAAAGATTGTTTTCCTGGTGGCGGCACATACAAAAAATAACCTTTTGAACCAGGGGGGTAAGGGTACGACCCGACTATTCCGCCGTCAAGACCCCAAACCAGCAAATAAGCCGACGAACTCAACTTCCTCATTCGACCGCCAATCAACAGACCGTGATGCACCCCGCTATCGGGCCAGCCTTCGACATGGATCACGGCGTGAGAAAGGCCCAGAAAGCAACCATTTCGTGGGTGAAAGATGGGGAAACAATTCGGAGACGTGGACACGGTCGTTCTCTCCGCGTTTCGGGGTGGGCACGAGTGAGTGCAGATGCAGATGCAGAGGAACTCTTGGATTCTCGTTCTTTCAGGTGAAGTACTGTACAAGGGGGGGTTCACGGCGGTATAAAGGGTTGGCGAGTTCCCACGATTACAGGGGGGAATTGTGGAAGCTTCCGAGTTTGTTCTGAGCTAATTCCGAAATCTCTCGTCATGTGGAATTTCAAAGGCGGCGTGGTTGAACACCATGTAGAAGATGAGAAGCATCCTCATGGAAATGTTGTCAAGTTGGACGCAGCTTCTGTCGCGCTCGCGGCGGCGGTGGCTGCACAAAAGCCATCTTTGTTGTCGAAAAATATGCTGAAGCTTTATGCTATTATGTCGGTTGGATATTTGGTCTCAACCCTCAATGGTTTTGGTAAGTGAATTTCTGACTTGAGAAAGGGATGCCGCTAACTTTACTCAGATTCCTCTCTTATGGGAGCAATTAACGCAATGAAGCCATATCAAGAATCTATGGGTCTAACTGGTACCGGCCCTTCTACCGGTCTTGTGTTCATCATCTACAATCTTGGACAGATCGGCGCCTTCCCATTCTGCGGGCTTTTGGCAGATGGTTATGGACGACGAGTGTGTATTTTCGTGGGATGTTTGATTGTTTTAGTTGGAACGGCGGTGCAAGCAACAGCCCATGGCATGCAGCAGTTTATGGGAGGTCGATTTATCCTTGGACTTGGGGCTGCTTTGGCATCTGCAGCTGGACCAGCTTACACCGTTGAACTGGCACATCCAGCATATCGTGGAACCATGGCTGGTATGTATAACAACTTTTGGTGGCTCGGAAACATTCTTGCCGGATGGACAACGTATGGATCAAACAAGTAAGCATATCCCTGAGCTGTCGACAAATAGGGTCTGGAGGCTGACTTTGTATAGGAACCTGACTACCTCATGGGCTTGGAGAATACCAACCATTGTACAATGCGGTCTGCCCACAATTGTCATTGTCATGATTCTGTTCTTCCCAGAGTCTCCTCGTTGGCTGATTGCTAATGATCGTCGGGAGGAGGCTTTGGCCATCTTCGCTAAATACCACGGCGACGACGATGAAAACTCCCCAATTGTGCAATTAGTGAGCAATATCTTCCAACCTTCTTCTTCTGAACCATCTGACTTCCAATAGCAATACAACGAAATCATCAACCAGCTCCACGAAACCAAGAATGAGAACCCGTGGTGGGACTTCCGAGAGCTCGCCAACACCCCCAATGCTCGCTATCGTTTATATATGGTCATCGCCATGGCATTTTTCGGTCAATGGTCCGGAAACAATGTCGTTTCCTACTTCATGCCGGAAATGGTGAAGAACGCTGGTATCACTGATACAAACAAACAGCTCCTAATCAACGCCATTAACCCGATTTTCTCTATGATTGGTGCGGTGTACGGCGCAACGCTTTTGGACAAATTAGGTCGACGATTTATGATGCTTGCGGGTTTAGGGGGGGCCCTTGTATCATACATCATGCTTACTGCCTTTACTGCTTCCGCAGAGCATACGCCTTCTTTATCTTACGGCGTCATAGTTTCCATATATCTCTTTGGGATCATCTTTTCCTGGGGATTTACGCCTCTACAGACACTCTACGCGGTGGAATGTCTGGAGAACCGAACTCGTGCAAAGGGCTCCGGGTTGAACTTTCTCTTCTTGAACGTTGCCAGTAAGTACAAATCGCCCACTCGGATTCTTTGGCTACTAACATCTTCTTCAGTGGTTGTTAATACCTACGGTATCTCAGTCGGAATTGCAAAAATAGGATGGAAACTTTACCTGGTCTTTATTGGATGGATGTGCGTCGAGCTGGTCATCATCTACTTCTTTTTCGTCGAAACAGCCGGAAAGACTCTGGAAGAGATGGATAGTATTTTCGACGCCAAGAATCCACGAAAAGAAAGTACGAAGAAGACGAAGGTGGGGATAGACGAGAGGGGACAAGTGATTCATATTGATGACGTTTAATTTATGATGATATGCAGAAAAAGGATTATAGTTTAATGATAATGATGTCAAATTGATGACAGGCGTTTTTGAAAGAACCCAAAGTTGAACGAACTGTCCCAACGGGTGAGAGATTATAACTTTCTCTGTCAACTCTTCCATTGCAACTTTCGAGACAATGAAATAGACTAATTTAGAGCTCCAACACCCCTTGAGAAGTTGTACGCGAAGTGGATATCAGATCGCTTATGTGGAGCATATCTCCTTGTATTTATGAGCCAATCGGTCCGTAGTCTGCTAAAAATTGTTCCATGTTATCAATCTTGAAAATATCTTCATAGTTCAAAGGAAAATTCGGATCCAGATAGCTCCCAAAAATATGATCAATATTTTCAAGTGGATCTGAGCGATCAACAGAAGAATGAGCATGTATCCCGAGAAGCGAGGGTCTCCGAGAAGAACTTGGTCGTGGGGGATCCATTGATAGCAGAACAGTGCGAGAAAGGGTCGCCATTAGATCAGCAGACCACCAAGCTTCTCGAAAATCCTCTAGTGTTCTTTGACATGTCTTGAATTCTAACTTTCCTTGTGCTGAAAGATGTTTTACGCAGCTCTTACGAACTTTTCTGTAAGCCACCGAAAGTGCGAGAGAGATTCCATATGGGACCACAGGTAGAGGTAGGACATCCGGGTTCTTGGTTCCGCAAATCAGTGTTGTGACTTGTGATGCAGCATAATTTTGCCTTAATGAGGAAGGAGTCTGAGGATTTGACTGATAGTCCGGTTTAGATCTTGAAGATAGCATCGCAACCGCAAGATAGAATAAGTGTAGGGTTACTACCTCTGTCAGAGAAATAGACAATGTGGTATCTGTGACTCACGTAATATAGTTGTATCCACCGACCAAGCCTCGAATTCGAGGACAATATCTTGGAACCCTGGGAACGCATGTTCCCATCCCGTTGAGAATGCTGGTGCAGTTGGACGATACAGGTCAATGACCTCATGTAGTAATTTGGCTATCCGTAGCCAGACCTGGAATGGCTTGTCCAAGTCAAGCCCGACTTCTGAGATAAAGTCTGGGACGCTGAGGTCCTTGTCATTTATCATCACCGGCTGGAACTAAATCAGCCAGCCCTTGTGGTTATTGCAGTGAGGTGAGCGGCTGAGGGGCAGATATGAGGATATCGGGTGATTGAAAAGAAATAGTGGGGTATTACCCTGCCATTTGTAGCAGCGTTGAGTTTATCCAACGACCAAATGCACCAAAACAACTTAACCTGAGCAATGTTTCCACCAGAAGCAGAATCTCGAGATAGATGAAGTCCCATGGTCTGGGCATGATGGATCGCTTGCGCAAGATGCATAGAGGCGTCTTCCGCACCATCAGGGCCTTCACTATGAAGAGATATTAGAGTGAGGATGCGAATCAAACTCAGTTTCTCGTATCGAGAAATCTTTCTGGTCTCCTGGACAATGGAATTATACAATAATCTGGAAAAGTCCCTTGTGTTCATCATGGAAGATATGTCAAGGAAGCTCAAATGAGATTTTGCCCTAATATCTTTAGCAGCGGTCAGACAGACCGCATGGACCAGAGGCCGTGGTAAGCGTGAACAGCTATATTCCTCTCGAAACTCACTTTCCACGAGTATTGGTAAGATAGTATTTACACGCAGGAAGTAAATGTCGATCAATGCTGCTTCGTCTCTGGGGGAAACGGCATCGGCATTTGGCTCTTTTGATCCATAGGCACTTGCACCTGGAGAATGTCCACCGCCCTCGGCGGTTTTGGAGAATGTCTCCTTGTGACTAGCAACGTTGCCTTTACCTCGTTCCAACCAAACACCAATATCGTGGCGCGTCGCTGATGATCCCTCTGAAGCGCGGTCGAGGAACACAGCTTCGGGATTGAGGTCTCCTACGAAGCGGGTAGAGACTTTGTCGACTCGTATAGAGTTGGGGCTGGCACCGTCCGCTAATCTTTCTGATGCCTGGTCATTCCAAGGTGCGGATATATCTACGCTGCCTCGTACGTGTGAAGTTTGCGATATGCCCGTTGGCGATTGCTCAGCCGGTGGTACTGGGCAGTTGGCGATGGCCGTAGCCGCCGAGCGTTGGTTCGTAGAAGCTTTCCTCCTGGTGTCAGAAGTTGCTTTATTCGGCAGAGCTTCGTTCTCGGGATGTGTACATCGTTTCTATAGCTCCCATGGGATTCTATTAGCAGCCGCTCAATATCCATGTTGGTGTATGTTTTGTCGTCGCGGTCTAATCTCTTACTTTTCTTCGCCTACAACGGTCACAAGCCGCGTTGTATCGTTTCCGCTTGGGGAAATTATCGTTATGTTTAACGAACCTGACCTCCATGATGGTTCTTTTTTTCCGCGCAGGAAGGGTGCGAGTAGGCGGATAGAGTCAATCATCGGGATTGTATTAATAGGATGTGGGGTGGGTGGCATAACAGATTTATGGGGGATACTTACTAAAGCCACCCCCGCTAGCTCTATCTGGCAGGCATATTGCGAGGTGTGTATTTAATATCGGGATTTCCCTTTACGTCCAATCCCGACAACCTAGAGGCATGCTCTGCATGCACAGTAGTAAGTTTTATATGGTAGCTACACTATTGTGCCAGAGTAGGTACAATTTTGCCAAAGATGCAAGGAAAATACTATTCAGCTTTCAGATGGAAGAGGATGAGATTTCCTAATTGACCATGTTTTGAAAAGCCTCTCTGATTATATTTGCGGGTGTTCCATTCGAAGGGCTTAATCCGAAGCTCTCCTCAGAGAACCCGACCTCTTTGAAATTTTCCTTCATCAGCTTTCAGAGCCAAAAGGGCTCTTATACTTTCTCCTTGATTCAAAAGTTCTCTATGCCCAATAAGCCACAAATATCTCTGCTGAAAAGTCACGCTTATTCACATTCACGTACCCGTGATCCTGAAGTAGGGATATGATTTCCCTTTTGGGCCTTCCGCTATTCCGACCCGACAGCAAAAGGTTATATACAGGCTCATGTCCTGCCTCTCTAATTTTTTCTCAGTCCATACCTCCCTCAATTATCTGTTTACCAGAAAGGTCTCATAAGCTCGATGCGATTACTCTGTCGTACTTGGCTAACTTCGAAACTTCAAGCCACTCCCCAAGTCCTTCGCCTTCAATACACCGGGATGGCGGGGCCACCCAGAAAAGAGGGAGATATCTCTTCTGTCTTTGTTTCTCTCTCTGGCGTTGCTCCCACGCCTCTTCCGCATCGTTTTATAGACCTCAAGAAAGAACTCACTGAAGGCCATGAAGAGGCTCTAACAGCAAGTTGGGGCAGGCTTTTAAAGGCTATTGATGCAGAGGTCAAATACATTTTCAGTCGCGGGTCTTCGGTGATACCCAGCATCGAATTTTCAGAACTGGACAACAACCCAGCTGAGTTCCGGGCAGAGCTGAGAAAAAGAGGTGTTGGCGTTGTGAGAAATGTGGTGCCTTCGAAAGAGGCTAGAGCATATAAGGATGAAATTGAAGCGTATGTCAAGGCTAACCCTTCAACCAAAGGTAAGAACACTGTACATTGTCTCTTATACATAGTTATCTCCCTTCTTCTCCAAAGCCAGTTCGAAGTTTAGGCATCGATTTCGGCCGATGCAAAAAGATAAGGAGCTGTATGGATATATCTTGAGACTCGCTAACCGCTTCCAGGCTTCCCCAAGGATGACCCATGCGTCTTCGAGCTCTACTGGTCTCCAGCTCAGGTAAAAGCTAGAGCTCATCCAAATCTCCTTCAAGCTCAATCACTACTCATGAATACATGGCATTCAAAAAAGGACTCCAAAGCCCCCATATCCATGACGACCCCACTATCGTACGCAGACCGAGTACGCATCCGTCAACCAGGTGATACAGGCTTCGCACTTGGACCCCACATTGACGGTGGAAGTGTCGAGCGCTGGGAGAAGAATGGTTATGGCAAGTCGGGTGTTTATGACAGCATCTTCGCTGGCGACTGGGAATCCTACGATCCGTGGGAGTCGAGTTGTCGTCTTGAAGCCGTCACGGATCTGTACCAGGGCGCTGGAGCGTGTACTATGTTTCGAATGTTCCAAGGTTGGCTCAGCATGTCTAACACCAAGCCTGGAGAAGGAACACTCCAAGTCAACCCCATGATTAAATTAACTACCGCATACACATTACTTCGTCCATTCTTTCGGGCTATTACACCCTTTGAAATAGATGTCTCTGGAGCGCCAAGTCAGAAATATCTCGATGCCTCAAATTGGGCTTTCGAACCAGCTTATAATTCCGAAATCCAAGGCGCAGCATTGGGAAATAGTCAAGAGCTCAACACGGAACTGCATCCTCATCTCCACCTCTCACAATCCATGGTTCACGTCCCGGAAATCAATCCCGGAGACTACGTCGTCTGGCACTGCGATGCCATCCACGCAGTTGACAAAGTCCACGCAGGAAAAAGCGATTCTAGCGTCCTGTACATCCCCTGTTGTCCTTTGACGGAAAAGAATGCAGAGTATCTCGAGTTGCAGCGTATTGCGTTCCTGACAGGAACCCCCGGACCAGACTTCCCCGGTGGAATCGGCGAGAGTGAACATGTTGGACGACCAAAAGTTGCAGATTTAATGAAGAGTTCGGAAACGATTGGATTGCAAGCTATGGGATTGGAATACTTTGATTTTTCGGAGGGCGCAAGTGTGGGTGAAAGAAAGGTGTTTAGGAGGGCGAATGAGATTTTGGGGTTTGGCGTGTGATTAAAATCCCCCATATTACGAAATTTCTTCACCCATGTGCGTCTGTGAGACTAAATGAAAGATGATTACACCTGTTATGCTCAATAGATCCTTTTGAGCTATCTCAATATTTGTGGCAGCGATGAACAATATGTGGATGAGTAATATATTGATTTTGCGTTCACGTAGAACAACGGCGGATAGTCACTTAATCCTGGCTTTACAATAACCATTACAGCTGTTCACATCTTCAGTCTTCCGTGATGATCCTCCTTCTAAAAGATAAGTTGCTAGTTGTCGCAAAATTTACATGTTTTTGTTCACGTGACTTGGCACTGGACTAGCTATCTACTTTCTCTTCTTTCACCTAATTACAAGTAGATACCGAATTAAGGACTAATTACTTCAACTCCCTACGGCTAATTTCTATGAGTACCAGGTAAACCGACACTAGTAATAAATAATCATCTCAATTCTCAATTCTACCTACTTAAACTCTTGTGAAAAAGCAGAGGTATTTACATTTGTGGTAGATCACGTCTCGACCACATGCGGCATTAACGTCTGGGCTTCGAGTGTAAGCAACAGACCGAACGGTCTTTTCTGTTTGATGAAGAGATACCTCAGCCTGGCACGCTTTTACTTTGCGGAGCGCCATGGCCTTTGTGGTAATGCTCTTTTGGAAATTAACCGAGGGACAGGCGCGCTAGTACTATATAAACTCGCGCTTCCTCACCTGTATTTATACAAGCATTACCTCTAGATCAGATTAGCTTCGACTATAAACCCTCTATATATACAGTATGTCAAATAGTAACTCAAGTAGTATAGGTACAGTATCGCTTACAAACAGCAAATCGAGACATCAAGTAATCTCATGGATCCAGCACAACGCAAACTCAAGTACATAGCCAGCTAACAGTATAACCATACGGACACACTATATAGTCCTCTTGGTGATCTCTAGAATCATAATGACATCCGTCTCGCCAATCTCCATACTGGTAACATCATATCCTCTAAACGTCTGGGCGTTACGTCCGATTGTATTGAGGAAAGAGTAATTGTTATCATTACCACAGAGGAGTTTGAACATCTCTCCTTCAACCCCAGGGCCGTCCTTCTTTAGGACATGCCATAGCTTTTCTCCGACGATAGTCTCCATCGTCTGTATTGCTGTATCTATGTCTCTACCCGTCTGTCTGTTGGTAATAGCTTCGGAGATGAAGAAGAACTTTTCAGGCTTGCTATCGAGCATGCCTGTTGCCTTAGCGGCGACATAGACGAGCTGAGAAACCGGAACAGCATTGATCCTAACATTCTCCTGGGGTATCCTCTGTCCCGTTTCATCAAGAGCAGAAAAACCAAATGAGTCCATTACGTAGCGATTGGCATCGTAACGTGCAAACCGATCATGAGCAATGATAGCTACATAATCTTTGCCATCCTTTGTTGCTTTCCCAACGCTTATTCTGGCAACAGCAAGAATGACATTATTCTCAGAGTAGACATTGTATGTCTTCCATCCCCTATCGGAGAATCCATAATTTCGAAAAAAATGACAGCCATATATATACTGAACTCTTTTGGTTCTAAGTCTATAGCCATCCAGGTTTTCCTGCTCGGCATGGTTGTCCTCTAGGATAAGGTAGTTGCTCTCCAAGGCTGTCTGGTAATTGAAGCCTTGTTTTGGATTAGATGCAAGCTCAAGACCCTTTATTCCTCGTGCTTTAACCTCCTCAGGAGTCATTTCATCAAACCCTTCTACCGGAAAACTCGAACATTCAGCCTCGGGTTCGTCTTCGACAATATCTCCGGAAGTGGTGGAAATGCAAGCACCTCTGCGCCAGATCCTCGACCCATCATTGCCATAGTCGTCTCTATTATAGACAGAAGAGACTCCCTCGCGCGAATGGGCTCTTGTTTGAACAGGTGGGCCGTGAGCGCGATTTCCACCAAACGACTCGACTTCAGAGTTGGGAAATGCTCGACCAAAAGCTTTGGGTACACTTCCAAGTGCAGCTAAGCAGAGAAGAAGATTTGTATTTTTCAAACGCATTGTCAGAAAGCGTCTTTCGAATGGGTTGTTTTGGAAGGCTTGAGAATGTCAGGCATATCAAAGTTGGAAGTCTACTATTTTATACTGTATGTAGACGATGGCTAATGTTAGACTCAATATTTCGTGCTTCGTCATTTGACACCAACCAAGCTATTTTTGGCGGGCTCAGAGTATATTTAATCAAATTTTGAAGGTTGATTTTCAGACACTAAGTAAGTGACGAGTTATGGCTAAAGCTAATTATGAATCGATTGAATTTCAATGTAACAGTTCTTGTGAAGATTGCCTGTCGCCCATACAGAATGAAGCTGTAGGGATAGAGCTACAAGTCACAAACTTTAATCGCGAACTTCTAATGACATCTCCCTGACGTTCTGGCGTCGCGCAAATTAGACTTTATGCAACTCACGAACCCCCCAGATTAGCGAGGACAGGGCCTAGGCATTTTTCAGGGTTCTGTCGTTATATGGTTGCGCCTCAATGATTTTATGGTGAATTCCCGTGCTTTGCCACATGTGAATGGCGCACCGTTTACTCAATGAATCACTTTCATAAGTTTAACCATATTTACAATAAGACATCCCTATTTGTCTATTGAATCATACTTGAGCATGTATAATGCTACTTCTCCTTATGTTTACTCTTCCTGCAAAAAGGATCCTCGCCCCTCGCTACATGTGCCCGCTGGTTTGATGTATCTATTGTCAACATTAAAAGTGAAGAGAAAGTAGGTGGGTAAGCGATAAACCCCCCGACAAGCGGACCAGGCTGGGAAGGGGGATAGACGCCTTGTTAAAGTAGTAGCTGTCTCAAATCTGTCTAATATCTCATCCAAATTTTGAGCCAGCTGGCTCGCCTAGGCAAAATGCCATACTAACATAGTAACAAATAGTTGCTTTGATAGCGCGCTACGTGCCTTATTTATCCTCTATAAAAGTATTTTCAGAGGTTTAGTGTTTGATTAAGAGAGCACCTAAAGCCTTCCCCCACTCCTACGTCGCCTTCTCTCTTTCTATTCCTTCTCTATAACATACTAGGATACAACCCCAGTTTGACCAGCCACTAAGACAGTCAAGATTTTGGGAGCATGAACGTAGTAGTAGACTAGTAGTACCAGCCGTAAAAGTTTGACGCCTCCAGATTACAATTGGGTACTTTTGGAATACCGTACGTAGCAGGAGGCAAAAGTTCTAAGCTGGAAAAGTATAAGAGAATCTTTTTCTTTCAAATTATTTTATTTCGCGTAAGTAAATAGCAAGTCATAATATACTGTATCATTAGAATTATGATTAATATGATAGAATCCTTGCCATTTGAAGAGAAGTTTACTAATTCTTAGAAGTAAAGTACCTTGATACTCCAGCCACGAGTGCGAGTACATACATTACATGGTAGAGTAACTAAAGAATACGAGGAACAAACATCCAGATCAGTTCGCCTTCGAGTGTACCGAAATCATAATAGCTGATACTCGAGTCTTGAGTAGAGAAGAAAAACCAAGGGGAGATCTATGTAATCTTACACCGGTATTGATCATCCGCCCTGCATCTCATCCCAAATCCCTACGAGTAAACTATACAATTGACAAATCATCAACAGCAATATAAGCATCGCCGATCCAGAAGCGCTCATTATGAATTCCAGCTTCCTGTAACTCAAGCTTCCCTCTTCCGACACCCACAGGTTTTTATTCCGCAGCAACTTTGATATCCATTCTCCACAAGGTCCTTCCAATAATAATCAGCATCTCCAGCATAGTCAACTGCATGCCTGCAAGAGACGCGGGCATTGCTCTGTACACACCTGAGTTATAAAAATATTATCCTAAACACCTCACACAACTCAATCAATAATACGAACAGTGTAAAATAACCAATACCTTTTAGTCCTGATTAACCTAAGTGAAATAGGAAAATTGATTTACTTGTACCAGACTTTTGGTAAAATGACTTTTGATAGCGTGTTTTGATAGCGTGTACAGAGCAATGCTCACCTCTATTACTATTTCCCACCCCAATAGACAACGGTTGATAGCCTGTCTTTGCCCTTGTATATCTTCAGCACTCACACTCTTATACTCATCCAAATCCCTCTCTCTGTTCAAAAAATTCAGGAATCCTTAAAAGGCACTTCACGATGCTGAATATCATGTACGATAATAGCGGATGTCTCCACTTCTCTAATCACATTTGTCTATATAAGTTGGGGAGTATCCACCTAAAGGGATGATCCTCAAGCAATATAATTAGGTTCCACTCACTATACCTTTCGACACATAATGTATCAGCGAGAAGCTACTACTTCCACCCTGCGTACCCTCAGGAACAAATATATCATCAACCCACAATCGAGCGGATAAGGCTTCTCTCAGCAAATCAGACAGAGGAGGAGAGACAATGTGGAGCGACTCATCGCTATAAGCTCGTACGTAAACAACGTTTTGTCCACTAACGATCCCCTCCACGCCCCCAAGTCTCTCGTAAACCCTATGTGGTAGGGTTCCGAAGAAGATAGAAGGACACAGTACACAGAGTGAATAAGTCGTATCCATGCCAGCAATAAGCAGAATCCCAGCCTCGGGGATCCGTTCCCATGAGTGCCTACGCAGGCCTCCCTTTTCTGATTCCGTTTGTTGAGAGAGATAGCGAAACAGATCTCTTCTGGTGCCTTATCCTCTTCTGGTGCCTTATCCTCTTCTGGTGCCTAATCCCGAGATCTTTTCCTTCTAGTATTTTTCTTCTTCCCGAGTTCGTATCACGGTACTTCCTTGTACTGTACGTACGAAGTCGCGGAGATGGGAGCTTTCAAAGCACACACAATTCCCTAGTTTATCTAACTCCCTAGATTCCTCCCAAACCCAGAGGTCGGAAATCATATATCCACCATCCCTCCGTAAAACCCAATATATTTACAGCACCCCATCAAGTCTCCAAGGAAACAATCGTCGAAAGTCTGTAATCCAACGACAACTAACCGTAAATATGAACTCCACAGACCCACTAATTCCCCTAAAAATCCTCACAAAATACCACAACCCCTCCCTCCTTTCAAAGCTCCTCCCAAAAGCTCCCCCACCTCCCTCCCAGATGTCAAAAGATGAAGTATCCAATCAACAACTCATCACGAATCAGTTCCTCACACCCCAATCACTCCATTCCCAAGATTCTCACCATTCTCAGCAACAAACCGTACCACCTGTTAACACTCCTAATAACATAGAATTGCGCAGAACACACAGCACGTTCCGAGGATACAGCATATGGAACTCGTCGTTTTTTCTTTTTGGCATGGATAGTTTTGTCGACGGAAGAATACCAATAATCCCACAATCCCATATCCCTATCCCATATCCCTCCCTCCCTTAACCATTAACCCCACACCCCACACTCCCCCACCCACCCAACACATCTCCCAAAAACCGAACCCAAGACCACGGAAACAAGGCTACTATAACACGCCGCCTAAAAAACAACATCTTNCCACACCCCACACTCCCCCACCCACCCAACACATCTCCCAAAAACCGAACCCAAGACCACGGAAACAAGGCTACTATAACACGCCGCCTAAAAAACAACATCTTGAATGATTATTAGCTAGCTGCTAGCGTAGCTGCTCCTTCGGGACTAGCGTACTACGGCACCTATAGGTACGTAGGTACTTAGCTAGCTATACTTACTTTGGTATATAACCTAAGACTTAGCTATTACCCTTACATAGTAATATAGGTCTTTTGCATCACCCACTTGACTGAATAATTCAAACCAACATCTACCAAGGAAATTATATCCCAACCTTGTAGACTTACGAAAGAATATCCGAAAGAACACAACGCAACGTAGGTAATGGTTAGGGAGGTAGGGAGGTCTAGTCACGTGCTTGGGAAGCGATAGATAAGGTTGTTGTTACAGGACCTAGGTATTGTTATACTGTAGCGATTAAATCAACTCATATTTCAAGAGCAATTGTTGGTTTTCTCGGTTATTCATATTACCTGGGGAAATGACATAGTCAGCAGTTACATAATCACAAGTCAACCTATGTTACACTACAAATCACACATTCCCCCCCCCCCCCNCCCTCCAAATTAGAATCAACAACCACAAATTCAAAAATCCACTCGCACAAGAACCCAAGATATTTTTTCAAATGTAAAATTCTTCCACCCTCAATGGTTTTCACGTAAGCTAATTATAATTAAATCCCAGCTATTAACCTTCTTTCCATCTTCCCTTACAAATTCCTTTTTCATCAAGTGATCTTCAGTATCGGGTATCTCTACCTATCATTCACAGCCCATCAACAAGCGACCTTCCACTACATGCACTATACACATCGTATCAAAATAGAGCCTCGGCAAAGAGGTATCGACAGTCCTAAATACACAAACACACGAAAACAAAAGAAACATTCCAGGACCCAAAGAGGCACTTTTATGCAAGTGGGGCGGAAAGTGGCAAGGATCGTGAGCTTCCTCCGACGTGAATGGTCTTCTCGGACTCACTGATAACCCAGTTCTGGGTGGTGGTGTCCCAGTTACTGATGTCACGGCGGGTAATCTCGACGGTGAAGGTCTTTTCCTCTTGTGGTTCAAGTTCGAGATCATCGAATCCTCTCAGGACGAGCTTGGGGTCGGTTGATCCGCCGAGGGAGAGGTACAGTTGAGAGACCTCGGTTCCCTTGACGTCCCCGACGTTCTTCACAGTGGCGGTGACGGTATACATAACATCCCACAGCTGTTTGTTTCCACCTGGCGATCCACCAGCTCCAACCTTGGGTTGAGGGGATGGGTCGGAAGATTTGTCGGGCCAGCTTTGGGTTTGGTTTCTGGAGACTGGTCCAGTTAAGAATGGATAGACATAGCCTTTGATAATCTTGAATCCAGGAGGGAATTGCGCGCTGGTTTCGTTCATGTTGATTGTGCCAAAGGTCTCAGCAGCTTTGGTCATTCCGGAGGTTAGCTGGAATGGTTCTGGGGTGTGCTTAACAACTTGGAGGTTGCTGTAGGTGAAGTTGGTGTATGACAATCCAAATCCAAATTCGTAAGAGGGCTCGATGTCCAACTGATCGAAGTGACGGTGATCATGCATGATACCCTCATCGAAGTTCATTTGACTGGGAACAGTGGTTGGTGTGTAAATGACATCCACACCCCAATCCTCGCGTTTCTTGCCCCAGGTGAACACGGTCTTGGCAGATGGGTTTCGGACACCGTAGAGAATATCGGTGATGGCGTTACCGGACTCTTGACCTGGCAAACCAGCCCAGATGATGGCAGTGATGTTAGGGTTGTTCTTCATGTCCTCGACAATGACTGGGCCAACGGTGTGTAGGACAACAATGGTGTTGGGGTTTTGAGAAGCAACGTGTGCGATGAGAGCATCACCGTTACCCCACAAAGTCAAATTGTTTCGGTCACCAGTATTTCCATCAACCGTGATGTATCCTTCTCCTGCGTTGGCATTAGCGAACACGATTGCTACCTCTGCGCCTGCCACAGCTTGGGTGACAGCATCGAAGTTGTAGTTGTCGCTGACGTTGGTGAAAGCGGACTTGGATTCGGCAGCTTGTGCTCGAAGAGTGGTTACTGGTGCGAGGAGGTATGGGTAGTTGGCTGATCCACTTCCCCATCCCTGGGCCAAGGTACCGGCATTTCCTCCTCTATCTGCGAAGGAATTTGGGCCTGCAGGGTTGTCATGAGCATCCTCACCAATGACTGCGACGCTCTTTGGGCCGCTCAATGGAAGGACACCGTTGTTCTTCAGAAGGACAGTTGAGGCGCCAGCAACCTCCCGAGCGAGTACCTTGTGGTCACCTTGAACATCCACATGCCAGTTGACTTGCTCATAGTATTCGTCGGCTTGGTCGTGTCGCCAACCAAACGTCTCATTGGTCCATGAGCTGAAGTTAATTGGAACACGAGCTTTGTCAGCACCAACTTTGAAGTACGCCTATTGAGGAATATAGTTAGCCTAGGATCATCCAAAATGGGAATAGAGCCATAATACGTCGGTGTGATGTGGACTCAGACTATACTTACAGACATGATTCTTGTCGCCATATCGTCAAGTCTCCATTGTGGGACGGTACCGTTAAGAACTGCTTCAGTCAAACTACCACCCCACCAGGTGTCTCCTGACGCAAATAGTTTATCTCCGCCCATGGACATGTCAGTACCAGCGAGGGCTGCGGCGACACCGGTATGTTGCGACCACCAATCAGTCATTACGAATCCTTGGAAATCCAATTCGTTCTTAAGAATATAGTTGACCAGGTAGCTGTTTTGTGCAGCGTAACTGTTGTTGATTTGGTTGTAAGAACTCATAACTGCTCCTACTCCAGCACGGACTGCATCTGCGAATGGCCTAGATTTCTATTAGTGGGTTTTGGCAATGTGTGGATAAGGCTCTTACCAAAGATACAACTCGTGCATAGTTTTGTCATCAATGTTTGCTGAGTAGGCGGGTGTGTTTCCGTTATCAGTGAGATCGCGATTGTGTTCTTGCTCGTTGCCAATGAAATGCTTTGCGGTTGCAATCACACCGGCATCCTGAATACCTTTGATTGTCTCTGCCATGGCAATTCCAGTCAAGACAGGATCGGAAGCGAAACCTGTCAAAATGAGATTAACACACACATCTTCCAAAATCAGGAACTCAAGCATACCTTCCCAGTTACGACCACCAAGCGGCGTACGACCAAGTGGACCCGCGACGGGAGACAGTTGTATATCAACACCCTTTCCTTTATGCTCTTCAGCCATAGCAAATCCACGCTCCTTCATCAGTCGTCTAGACCATGTAGCACCGGCGTTCATTCCCGAGGGCCAAAGGGTGGCCAAATCAGCTACAAGTGGTTAGTATATGAAATGGCGCCATGTGTAACTGCTGTTGAACAGCAATGAATTCTATGACTTACTAAAACGAATACCAAGAGGACCGTCCTGTAAACACAGTCCTCTGAAATCCAGACGAGGGATTGATCCAGTGTTTCCCACGCACTGTTCTCCTGACCATCTGGCTGGAAGTTAGCATGTCTACCCGGCTACCCCTACCAAACTTCCGCACAAGATTTGCGAGGGCCTGGCCAAAACTGTAAAGCCAGAAATGCCAATAGGCCAGTCTAGACCAATGGAACTCAAACATGCCAGCCCCATAATGAATTCCAGAAGCAAGAAATAGTATCCATGGCAATGGATACCCATGAATGTTGCTATGGAACCCATGAATGTTGCTATGGAACCCATGAATGGAAGCACCTCTTCTCCAATATGCAAGGGAAACAATTGGCGCCTTGCGCAGGAATCCCCTCCAAGACCCCCCACCCGTGATATCCAGCAACCACATACCCAACACCACAATACAAAAGGAGGAAAAACCGATGGAAAAAGAAACACCCGTAGAATATATGCAATTGGATTGATAATCAAAAAGACGTACCCAACACCTGTAGTCAAATTGACTTTCTCTGTCAGAGTGAGGCCACTAACGAAAGCCTTTGCCTTCTCGTAAGCCTCCTCCCAACCTTCGGCACCTCTCATCCATGGCGAAGGATAATGTGGAGGAGAAGTGGCCCAGTTGAGAGGACTCTCCTGGGCATTGGTCGTGGCAATTGCCAAGGCAAGCGCCGCGGTATACGAGGAAGACCACAACATGATGAAGCGGAGCGAAAGACACACAGGCAAAGGAATGAAAAGGAAGGTGGGTGGAGAAGGGACAGAGTGTGGGAGAGAGCGGACAGGCTCTATATACAGGATCTTGCGAGTCGCGGAGACTTGAGTAGGTAGACAGGTGGATCGTATCGTGGCGGAGACAAGAAAAGACGAGCCCAATCACTGGGATCACGGGGTAGGCAAAGGTACCGTTCCGGTAGATCCACTACAGGTACGGAGTACTTCAACCAGAGCCATTCTTTCTCCTTTGGCCTTGGGGGTTGTTTTGCTGCGGTGACACCGCTGCATACCAACCGCTTGAACCGCATTTCATCGACCCACCTTTTTGACCTCGCCAATGGCCATCGTGGTTTCCACCTCAAGCATTGGAATTGGGATGTGACAAAGGCATTGGGAGTCAGTCTTCGGTCCGCTTCCCTCCAAAGCAATTTGGAAGCTTGACGCTGGGATGAGAAGCTTCATCGCAATTTCCAGATCATTTGTTGATGTCACTGATTGCCGCACGAGGGGGAAAAAAGAGTCTGGGTGGGTGTTGCGAGCCGGGAATGGCATCCGGGGTAAACCGAGTGCGGAGACTGGGGTAAAGCAGGGGCACCTGCAGCGCCCTTTGGAGCCAGTCAGGTGAGCTCTTGCTAGTTGCTACTCTCGCAGACGTCGCTGCCAACTGTCAATCGGACCGGGAGCCGCAATGTTGTCTGGTACGTAAGAGTTGGAGTTGGGATGAAGGAATTGTCCCGTCTCTGCTGCTGTTCCGAAGAAAGTGCAGCACATCACACAAAAATCTTGTGTCAGAGGAGAAATTTACCTAGCGATGTGGAGATGGGTGGCAGTGGAAGAGCGGCGATTCATAGGGAAGAGATAATTATATAAATCCCTCCTGAATTATATAATTATAATCATTATACGAAATCGTGGATTATTGATGATTCTTATACCAAGAATCTTAGGTAGGTACCAGGTAACCTTTTTATCAGCCTCTTAATAAACATCTAAAAATCAAGATGTAACTATGTATAAAATACCCCTTGAGTAGAAGTAAAGAAATCTAGGGATATTAATAAGTAGAAGGTGAAAGAAGGAGTAAGATATAGTCTTTTAATCTCTTGATTTACTCGCGTACTCGTAAACAGATAATAACGGTCTCTCACATTTCGCCTCTAGCCATCGGAAGTTCGGTACGTAGACCAATACCAATACTTGGTACCAACCCAAATGGTGTAAGAAGAATGGCAATAATGCAGCACAGGATAGTGTAATTTGCTAAGATTCGCCGTAATCAAAAGTACTTTGTACCACACTTTCTGCCAGTCTTCCGCATGAGCACAGCATTTTCGCGCATCATCAAGAAACAAGGCCCAATCGCATTTCTGCGGTTGCACATCAATCCCATGATTGTCCCGAGTCTCAGTCTCAGTCTCAGTCTCAGTACCTTCTGCGGTAAACTTACTTCTACTTGTACATCATCGCGGTGAAACCCAGTCCCCCGCTCTCCAAAGGCATTCGAGTGGAAGAACTCACACAGCGTAGTACCGTATTAGAGCCCAGGTGACGAACGATGTGTGATTAAAAGAAAAATCAAGGTTAGTTTAAAAAATGAACCGACCGCGCCAACGTGGCGCAGAAACGCCTCGATGATGTAGGGACCTCTTTGCCAGGCGGGAATCCCGTCTTTCCGTGGCTGGCACGTGATGCGGGGTAAACGCTTAAAGGGTTCTTGAAAGGGGAGTGAGGCTCTCGAGGATGAGTGGTGGGATTACAGGCCTTGCGTCCCGTAGCTACACTACAGCAGCTCGTACGGCGTAGACGAGTAAGTGTACAGTAGTAGCTCGTAAGCTGATCTTTGAAGAGACGAACCTACCGGACGGGTACTTTGGTAGCTTGATGTCATCCGAAGCACCTCCCGAGTCATCTGAACTTGAACCCCACTGACTACTGCTGACAGCGGCACCTTGTAAAGGGGTAAGACAGCTAGACAGCTAAGAGACAAGTTCGAAGTCATAGCATGGCCCCGATCTCTAGCGGAACCAGCGAATCAAAGACTCGCGTTCCTTACATGTTTAAGAGTATACTCTTTTGCATTACACGGAGCACTTTGAGCTGTCCACCCTCTTTACCTTTACTCGGATTGTAAATTCAGATGGAGGATTTTGTCGCCAATTTCGACTTTGAGGAAAAGTTCTATGTGACATCATGACATGCAGATGGCATGCATATCACTTCTAGAACGATGTTGAAACTTGGGACGGAAAGTCATAATCCACTTATCCACAGAAACTAAAGGACAAGACATTATTGCCCAGTGAAGATGTACAAACCCAAGCACCACCGTATACTATTACATACGGGAGGTCTGAATAGCTTCATTCATTACTTAAAACCATACCCAATTGCGCTTAAAACTCGTGGAACAATCCATGAACTAAGTGCAAGATTACTTACGCAACGCGCATATTATCTCTCTAGAAGTTACAGTAGAACCACAAACCATCTTTGTCCCCCCAACACAACTTCTGTCTCCCTCTAATCATCACGAACCTAACCACCAAAACATCCATAAAACTCAACCACAAAATCAGCCTACTACATTCTACAATAACTGTCCAACCCCCAATTCAGCAAACCACACCCTTCCCCCCCAACCTCCTCCCTAAAACCTTAAAAACAACCCAAACCCCCAATAAAATCCTCAGCTCCTAAAAGTAAATAAACTTCATCCAAGCGCCCAGACTCTTGGACCATTTGGCGACTTTCCTCCATTAGGCTTCACACCTCGTAAATGTAGAAGCAGGAGAATGTACCAAGTAAACTCTGATCGTAAACTTTCCAAGGGCCCACGGATCAACAGTCGGAATAAAATCTGCCGAACGGAAGAGAACCTGGAAGATATTGGGCCTTAACCAAGGAAACTATAAAAAGGGCGGAAGAAGAGGGATGAAAGGGTTGTGAAACGAGTGTAGATCGTGTAAAAATACTTATGAAGTACAAGGAAGAGGTGTAATGGAAGAATGTTTTCGTGGTTTGATTCGATTGGAGGAGTGAGGTTATTTTTATTCTAAACGGTTTGGTGTGGGCTGTGTGGGTTTTGTAGAGGTACAATCAGGTCGTGGTGCTCACGGTCACTTTTCGCTTAGCGAGACAGGGGTCAACTACCCCACCCTACGCACTTAAAAGTCCGATAAAAACTTCCGTTCCTTTATATTTTCATATATGATGATAACTTCGATGGGCCGGGTACGCTTGACTACTCGAAAAGAGCTCGATGTGAGGCAACAGACTCGTATTTGGACCCTATACGAAGGAGGTAACAATCCCTCCGAAATCCACCATAAAACAGGGATACCCTATACTACCTGCTCTGGTTTCATCAAAAGATAACAAAAGAACCTTAACCCGGCCTTTATTAAGGGCCCCGGAAGGGGTACTAAGCCAAAATTGAACCCGCGCGCCGAACGAAAGCTTGTACGTACGGTATGTATCGACATAAGAATGACCTTGAAAGCGCTGGCTACACCTTCTAAATCCGGTAAGCGTTTGAACCACCACACCGTCTCCAAGACCCTTAAAAAGTATAACAAAGCTAAGCGCCGCCCTCGTAAGAAGCCCTTCCTTAGCCCCCTCTACAAAAAGAAGTGTCGGACCTTTATAAAGTACGAAAAGGCTATTAAAAGGGACCCTCGGAAGGTCTGCTACAGCGATGAATTTACAATTGAAATCGGGGACGATACTACTATATTTTGGGTAACTAGGGGCCCTGGGAGGGAGGAGGAGTATACCGACAAGAACCTACGGCCCACTTTCAAAAGTGGTCGGACAAGTGTAGGATGTTAGAGTTGTTTTTGTAGTGACGAGATAGAACCCCTATATATACTGCCGGAGGGCCAGAATATGACGGCTAAGCGGTACAAGATTGTACTCTAAAGGCTCTTTATTCTATTCTATAATAGGATGGTCGCTAAATACGGGCCAGAGGTGGTGATGTAGGAGGATAACGCGCTGTGGTATACCGCTAATATTGTTAAGAACTACCTGGCTAATAAGGGGATTAACCGGATGAAATAGCTACTACAATTACCTGATCTTAACCCTATTGAGAATTTATGGAAGTGGGTTAAGGAATTTATCTCTAAGAGGAAGTACAAGGTCAGGAACACAAAGGATATACGGTACGCTCTCATTTAAACGAAGACACAAATACCCAAAGATTTGCTCCTTAAGCTATACGATTCTATACCAGCTAGGTACGCCGCATGCCTCAAGAACATAGGTGGGGCAACCAAGTACTAATTAGCTATCAATTAAGCCTATTTCTGATCCATTTACATATGTTTTGGTGAAGTGACAATAGTTTTAATATGTAGGTATCGAAAAAGTCATGTAACCGTCAGTACACGGACCTGATTGTACAAGTAGGAAGTGTTTGATTGTATGGGTTATTACCGTGGTAAATCGTGCTTAATTGTAGGATTTTTCGACCCTACTTCCGGGGAGGTCTCGGCCCTTTAGTAGGGCTCATCAAAACGGCTACTTTTCTTGAACCCTGTAGCCATAGCCTATAGATTTAGTGCCATTTTATATATAAGCTTCCTTTCTAACTTATATACTTTGATAAAAGCTAGGATAATAGTATATAATACGCGGCATGAGTAATTAAATTTACGGTAATTAACTAAGATACCCCTTAGTTTATTATAAATACCTGAGATACCCCTTAATAAATAGGCGTGTAACTAAGATACCCCTTAATATATACCCCTTAATTTCAGGGGTATCTCGGTCGCTAAACAGGGGTATCTTAGTTACTTTTAATTAGTTTAGGTATTATTATTCCCGCTATTTATTAGATTTATAGGGTAGTGTAGGTAAGGCTTCATAAACAAATTAAATTAATAATTTAGTACTAACGTAGTCCACAAGCGAGTTAGATTCCCAAGCGAAATGGATTTCTTTTCTTGGCACTCCACAAACTTATTCAGAGCGCGTTTTTTCTTAACAAACAAAATGGTTAAGCATTGGACAGAGTCTGATATGATTCTTGCGTTAAATACGCTTCGTACGAACCCACATTTAAAAGTTAAGAAGGTTGCGCGGATCTATAAAGTACCTTATACGACATTGCTTAATCGAACTCATGGAATATCATCACGACAAGATTCTATCGCTAAATCTCGAAAACTTACAGAGATTGAAGAAATAGTTATCGTACGACATATTCTCGACCTAGATTCTCGATCATTTCCCCCACGAGTACGTTGTGTTGAAGATATGGCGAATTGTATCCTCTCGGAGCGGGGTGCAGGACGCGTTGGCAAGAACTGGACTTCGAACTTCGTACGACGACAACCTGAACTTAAGACGCGTTTTAATCGAAGGATTGATTATCAAAGAGTCCAATGCGAAAATCCAGACGCGTATAACGCGTGGTTTCGCCTCGTACGAAATATAATTGACAAATATGGGATTCAGGAGGAGGATATTTATAACTTTGACGAGACTGGGTT